TATCCTTAGTGAACAGAAGAAGTGAGTCTTCAATTATAATCACCTTAGAGTCTGTGCACCAACATTTAAGATTCCAGATTTTCACACCAATAATGAAGTCTACTCATAGGTCCTGAGACAAATAATCAGCTTAACCTTGCACTGCCTTCAACTTAATTCTGTCGGCCTCAGACCATGTGCTGTTTCTCTGCACTACAGCCCCACAGCTTAGCCAGGCAACCCTCTTCTGACCCACAGCAGTGCCAGTATTTACACAGCTTTCTATGCCTTAAACATACTGTATGCTGTCTTACAGGAACGAAAATCATTTTCTCAAAGGGGAAAAACATTAAACTTCCAGCCAAAAGTTACATGGGAAAAGTGCCAGAAATGCTCTAAAATATGTTTGCCAGATAAAACAGTTTTGCAATGTCTGGAGAGGACAGCAGCAAAATAAAATCAAGGCTGAAACTTTGCAACCGTGATATTATACTTGATGTCAATTTTCTTACCTGTGAAATGCTGAATGAATTTGCCTTTCATGTTTACATCTCTAGGAACAATTTCTGGAAGAGAAAATCACTGTTAGCTTGTCAATCAACAATCATTTTCATCAGCTGTGCACTTGCACTTCTGCTTCACCTCTTTGCTCTTCCTACACTGGCCGAAGGTGAAAGAAGTACTTCACCGCACTCACTGCATTTTTTGTAAACACAATTTATAAACACAGCACTTTAAATGAACATTACTCATTGTGAATTATGCTCATCAGTGGTGTAATATATGTAGTGCTTCTATGATGTACCTACACCTTGACATTATTCTCTATGGAGATCAGTGGAGGCATTTCAGAGGGTCTAGATGGGCATCAGGTAACTCCTCTGTACTCAATGCCCACACAGGCAACACATGCTAACAGGCTAAAGAGATTATTGTATGGGGGTTTAATGCTCATCAGAATAAGTCCATGCAACTAGTTACTGAGCTAACATTACATTAGCCCCCAGCCCCAGGAACATGTAATGCTGCAAATGCATTTAACTGCAGGAAGATGAAACAATTTTGCCAATTTTGAAAGCAATCACAGGAAGTTATTTTAAATGCTTTTAAAGTCCGGACACACAGTAAAGCCGAAACAAACCACCCTAAAGTATATACACACCTATATTTTCATATATATATTTTTACTATAACAAAAAGAGTTATGGACATGTAAGAGTCAACTGTGCCATCAAGCCAAAACCCAGATGTGAAAAGTGACAAGGGCAGCCAGGATTACACAAGTCAGATAATGTGGTTTCACTACATAAGCACTGTGTATTGTATTTCCTGGCCATTATTAAATGCATGACCACAACAATAAAATGCTAAAGTCTAAAACAGCCAGTTTGAAGCTTATTTCTTGTGGCATACATATGAAAAGAGAAACTGTAACAGATACAGACCTCTTTATGTTGTCTTGTCATAGCTGTCATTTTGATGACACAGCCATGACTTTTGAGGAAAAACACAGGGACAACTATAGGGTGAACGCATCAGTGGGTTCACAGATGTTTCTACCCCTTCCTCCTCATTGCATCTAAAGCATCTATCCTTGCGTGACCACGGATCTCTGGTAGTGTCACACGCACCAGTTGCTAATATGCTGCTTTTAATATCCTCAAAAAGATAAATTCCATCCAGTCAGTGGTCTGAGAAAGGTACTTTTCCAATTGCATAAGCTGCGGCTGAGACTTTGAGCTGCACGATGCCTGTTCAACAACTCTAAAACATGATTTAATTGATAGTGATGGTTGAGAGAATCTGAAATTGCAGGACCCAACACATTATCTTCACTCGGCACTTAATAAACTCCTATTGCACATACCTATCCTGGACTGCACTCTGAGGTAACTTTATCTGTTGCTGCAATCAAAACAGCTACTATACATAAAAGGGTTTTCTGGATACCTTTTCTTTAATACAGTTTGACTTGGGCCAACCTTCTGTCTTGGATCTCAGATAATTGAAGAGATATGTATCAAAGATTTATTTAAATGGCTTAAATCTGGACATAATGTTTTATTTAAGCCAATAAGGGCAGAGCTACACCGAGCACATCCTCAACCTCAGTACCATTTCAGGGAATGATTAATTGAAAATTAATTTTCGTGAGAATGATTACAGTCAAAAGCAGTGTTTGAGTAACAGTGACTGTGATACACCGCTGTAAGTTACATGGATGTGACATGGCACAGCCTCGCTCCATCTTGCAGAGATACTCATGATTGGCGATGCTTTCTGGGTTTCTAGGATGCCATACTGTGTTGTATGCGTGCGTGTGTGTGTGTGTGTGTGTGTGTGTGTGTGTGTGTGTGTGTGTGTGTGTGTCTGTGTGTGTGTGGAGGGGGGGGCATCATTCATCTTGAAGATTCCACAATGAATCATACTGAATGAATCATTCACAAGTTTGGTGTGACGGTGCTCCTCCTACATGAATTCATAGCACCTATCCACGTCTCCCTTCATCAGTCAATCAGTTTGAGTGAGGGAGTGATGTGTTCAAAACACGTGGTGAAAAGATATCTATTAGTAATAGGAACACCAACTATGATAAACGTGACATAACCTCTTTGTCCTCCAAAGATTAAGCATACCTGCATTACATCTTATAAAAAATTAAGTTGGACATTTAAGGACAATAATATCTTGATACTCTACCCTGTCTTTTAAATATACTCTTGCCAAATACCATATATGAACAGGCAAACCTAATTTCATTTTCCATATTTCTTTGATTAACATCGATACACTGAAGTTCCATTCAGCCAAACTAAATAAGGCTCCTAAATAAGATGTACAGCACAAGCCAGACCATTGACAGCTGTCTCCCACAGTAAAATGGGGATTATGCTTTCATCATCAGGACCTAAAAATAAATCTTATCAGCTTACCTATGAGTCTACTGTTATCCAGCCTTGGAACATAGAAAGGCTTTTCACGGGAGGAGAACTTCATGTCTTGGGCAGAAGTGAAGAGTCCACTGCTACAGCGCCTGGGGACGGGTTTGTCCCGTTGCTGGCTGTCTCTGATAACCTGTAAGATTAGATCCAAAAGGGTCCTTCTCTCTTTCTGCTTGACCTCCTTGCTGTCCATACATTGGCCCGAGGTGATGAGCAGAAAGAAGATAGTCAACAGTATATGCCATTTCCTCTCCACCTGCATGACTTCACTGTCTGAAAACATATGCAAACAAGTTTTGTTACTCAGGAGTTACATGATTTCTGTAAAGTCAAAAAAATCATCATATTTGTTTAATTCTAACGACCAAAAATATAACTGTACACTTTGACCATGCTTAACCTCAACAGATGTATCAGCATTACCATTTAAGATCCTTTACTTTCCCCAAATTGCTCAAAAAAAAATCAGAGGTAACATACAGAGCTTCTAAAAGTGGACTTAATCACCACAAAATAGTCGCATTTCTTCCAGTTTAATACATGGGTAAAACCAATGCAGTTAATCCAACTTTAGACTTACTAGTTTGGGCGTTAAAGATGCTTATGTCCCGGAGAGTGGACACAGTTGTCTTGAGCAAATTCTTCCAGGCGTTGTCTGTAGTTCCGATCGGAGAGAGGGAGAACAGCCAGTAGATTCTGCTCACCACCTTCTTTCTTGAAATAATGCGTCCCTATTTATACGAGGAGCCACCTTCTTGAAGGTAATACAATCGATTTCGAGTGGGTGGTAAAGCAATGTTGACATCTTTGGTGCAATTTCTTCCAGTGGCATTCGCTCACTTTGGCATGCGCCCCTCCTTTACGCACACAATCATCACTGGTTGTAGTTTTAAATTGACTATTAAACTTCAGATATAAACGACCCTTTTCCAAACAGAGTAATGGTTTAACGTTTAAGAGAGAGCCCAACTGAAATTTCCATTGAAAAAATAAACGACAAAGACCGTGGCGCGGCAGCGCGCAAGAAAGTAGTTTCCCAAATAGAGCAACTTGTTGGATGTTGAACGCAGAGAAGAGAAGAAACTGTGGGCCTGTAAGCTTCTAGCTGACCTGTCAGCGTGTCGATATTTTTGTTCACCGATGTCCAAGTCTTGTGACCGCCTAAGCGCAGCAGAGAATGCGCCTCCAGAAGCAGCCATCCGACTGTTTTCCACCCTTGAACAGAAGCCTATAATTGTGATAGAGCTTTTAAGAAATATGACACTTTAGGGTAGCCTACATTTCAAGATGCATCTTAAAGAGAGTCCAAAAAGTTAGTGAATAGTTGGCTCAGCTGTCTGAATGATAAGTCACCCCTTTAAAGACAAACCAGCGTAATGTAAATTAGTTTAATTAATTAATGCATGAAGTCTGCAGATTGGTTCGTATTTTCACCTGTAATTTGCAATGGGGAATATGTTCTGCTACAGCTCCCTTTATATCTGCCGAGATGTGGAGGACGTTTTGCAGCAATACATTGCATTTGCACTTTGCATGCATCCCACTACGTTATGTTGTATATTAGACGAGAGCCGCATCTTTGCTAACATGAAGGGCGTCACCTGGTGGTGTCTCACTTGTTGTGCGGTGATGTGGGTCAGAGACCTTGTGGGCCTTTTATTAAATAAAAGTGCACATTTTATCGTGCAATCTCTATTAAAAAAGAAAGTGGGGGTAAACCCAATAGGCGTAGGCTATTGTTAACATTATTATTATTATTATTATTATTATTATTAGTAGTAGTAGTAGTAGTAGTAGTAGTAGTAGGAGGAGGTAGTATTTCATTAAAGTATAAGGGTAAAAACCGTTACATAGTCACATTGTGAGTGATTTCCACAAAAAATGTAAATTAAAAACAGGTGAGTAACTTCCGGAATCACTGTTACTATGGAGACGGGCCGAGTATTGTTTCAACTTAGGAAAGCTGACCTCCTGTTCGACACACTGTGGCTTACTTTAGTTAAATTTAACTGTCTGCAACTTGTTTGGTTATTTGATAAGAGACATTGGAAGCATTTTCCTTTTTCCAGAGGCAGAGACATGTCGCAAAGGTAAACTTTCAAGCAGGCACAGTCGCTAATGTTGTACGGTCACCGGCTACCGTAGTTTACGTGAATTTAGCTAGTTAGCTGGTTTCATGCAAACAGCCCCGACAACGTTTAAGCAAAGTTGTACTTTAAAACTGTGCGTAAAACATGAAAATATAGGCGAATAAAATAATACTAACATTTGAAAGCATTTCTGTAATGGCATACGAACGAGCAAAGCAATACAGGTAAATAAAGTATTTGAAAGTCTATTTTTTCATACCTCATTTATGGCAGCAGGGTGGCAGCAGTGACTAACTATAGCAACAAGACTGACGCGTGATACTGTTACTGAATCGATTTTTCCCTTATGTGTGGCCAATATAAGTGAATGGGGCAAAAACTACTGCTCTGCTTGTAAAAATGCAAATGCTTGCAATTCTTGCAAAATTGTATTGCAACGTTTATCTGAAGTTTATATGAGGCTTTAGGAGTTTGAGGTAGACAAATCAAGTGGATAGCTTACAAAGTTACAGTTGTCTTTAAAGTACTAACTTCCCTTTTTTTGATGCTACCTCTTCATCGCAGATTAGCAAGGAAACAGTGTGGAATCTACCCTGTGGAAATTACCCTAGAAAGACTGTAACTTTGGAAGATATCCATTTTATTTGACTAAGTACTGAAGCCTCATTTTGAATTTTTGAATTAGAATGACTGTGGATTTTGTCCCTCATCACTTAGGGATCTCATAATGACCACTACGAGCAGGAGGAATAATTACAGCAAGCAATACGTCTTTCAGTGTTAATATGGGCACATGACTATTGTTTCAGGACAGTCTTGGAAAAATTGTGTACAAAGACTGAACACAAAAAGATTGTTATTACATTTGCAGGGCATACAACGAGCTGTGGGCAGAGGCCCAGTTAGAGTTGAGCCGTCTGCTAACTGAGGAGCTGCCTGCTGAGCCACCTCGTCCAGAAAAGGACAGGGTAGTGTTCTTCCAGCGTCTGGCCATGCTTTATGTGCGCTACATCCAAATCTTCAGACAGCTGGAGAAGGTCTATGACCAGGTGGTCCACCCTCAGAAGAGACAAGTTATTCGGGCGATGCTTGATGGTGTCATAGGCAGGGTGATAGAGCTGAAGAATGAAATGGTGGAAAAAGAGTTTTCAGAGTACCACTACATGGATGACGTCCTTCACGACTTAAAGCTCAGACCTGTGAGTTTAATTTTTCATAGTTATTAAACTGAATTGAAATTCTGAGATCTGAATAAAGTTATCAGGAATGTCTCTTCATAACTCAACAGTTATTTTCATTGTTGTCACTTTAGGCAGACCTTGAGATCCCTATCCCTCTCTACTTCATCACTGAACGCAACAAAGAACTGCAAGAACGAAAGACTATGCTCACAGATATCCTTAAAATGGCAGAGGTTACTGAAAGCCCAGAAGTGAGTTGAAAAAGAGCTACATTTTAGTTAAAGCCTGTATGTGTTACATATTTTGTATTGCATCAGGAAAACCAAAATAATAGTTATCATTCATTATTTGTTATACAGTGGGTATGGAAAGTATTCAGACCCCTTTAAAATTTTTCACTCTTTGTTTCATTGCAGCCATTTGCTAAAATCAAAAAAGCTCTCTTTTTTTCTCATTAATGTACACTCAGCAACCCATCTTGACAGAAAAAAACAGAAATGTAGAACTTTTTGCAAATTTATTAAAAAAGAAAAACTGAAATATCACATGGTCATAAGTATTCAGACCCTTTGCTGTGACACTCATATTTAACTCACATGCTGTCCATTTCTTCTGATCCTCCTTGAGATGGTTCTACTCCTTCATTGGAGTCCAGCTGTGTTTAATTAAACTGATTGGACTTGATTAGGAAAGGCACACACCTGTCTATATAAGACCTTACGGCTCACAGTGCACGTCAGAGCCAATGAGAATCATGAGGTCGAAGGAACTGCCCAAGGAGCTCAGAAACAGAATTATGGCAAGGTGCAGATCTGGCCAAGGTTACAAAAGAATTTCTGCAGCACTCAAGGTTCCTAAGAGCACAGTGGCCTCCATAATCCTTAAATGGAAGAAGTTTGAGACGACCAGAACTCTTCCTAGACCTGGCCGTCCAGCCAAACTGAGCAATCGTGGGAGAAGAGCCTTGGTGAGAGAGGTAAAGAAGAACCCAAAGATCACTGTGGCTGAGCTCCAGAGATGCAGTAGGGAGATGGGAGAAAGTTCCACAAAGTCAACTATCACTGCAGCCCTCCACCAGTTGGGGCTTTATGGCAGAGTGGCCCGACGGAAGCCTCTCCTCAGTGCAAGACATATGAAAGCCCGCATAGAGTTTGCCAAAAAACACATGAAGGACTCCCAGACTATGAGAAATAAGATTCTCTGGTCTGATGAGACCAAGATTGAACTTTTTGGCGTTAATTCTAAGCGGTATGTGTGGAGAAAACCACGCACTGCTCATCACCTGCCCAATACAATCCCAACAGTGAAACATGGTGGTGGCAGCATCATGCTATGGGGGTGTTTTTCAGCTGCAGGGACAGAACAACTGGTTGCAATTGAAGGAAAGATGAATGCAGCCAAGTACAGAGATATCCTGGAAGAAAACCTCTTCCAGAGGGCTCAGGACCTCAGACTGGGCCAAAGGTTCACCTTCCAACAAGACAATGACCCTAAGCACACACCTAAAATAAGAAAGGAATGGCTGTCCACCAACGTTCACCATCCAACCTGACAGAACTGGAGAGGATCTGCAAGGAAGAATGGCAGAGGATTCCCAAATCCAGGTGTGAAAAACTTGTTGCATCATTCCCAAGAAGACTCATGGCTGTACTAGCTCAAAAGGGTGCTTCTACTCAATACTGAGCAAAGGGTCTGAATACTTATGACCATGTGATATTTCAGTTTCTTTTTTAATAAATTTGCAAAAATTTCTACATTTCTGTTTTGTTTTTGTTTGTTTTTTTTTTTTCTGTCAAGATGGGGTGCTGAGTTTACATTAATGAGAAATAAAATGAACTTTTTGGATTTTAGCAAATGGCTGCAATGAAACAAAGAGTGAAAAATTTAAAGGGGTCTGAATACTTTCCGTACCCACTGTATTTCATTAGATGTAAATAAGTAAATGTATTCAAATGTCATTTTATATACTTATTTTTATTGTACCTATAGCCTCTAATGGTCAAGGACATGAGTCAAGAGGAGGCCATTAAGATTATTCAAGTGGTGGAGAGGACCCGCCAAGGACGTTTGAGGGCAAAGTTGAATGAAGAGAGCAGAAATATGAACAAGATGTACAGGACCAAGGACTCTGGAGCAGTTAGCATTGAGTCGGCTGCGGTCTGCATTCAGAAGGTTGTCTGCTATTACCATAGTAATATATGCCTTTTTCTCTGCCTCTGTCTTTGCCATGTCTGTTTCATGCTGAAAGATTTGGTTAAATATGATTTGTAGGTGTGGAGGGGCTACATAGAGCGGAAGAGGGCAAAGATTGCTCGGGATGAAGAAATGATTTTTCTAGGAATGGTGAGTTTCATCAATTTTGCTTATGGTCTGAAAAACTACATATTCTATCTATCTATCTATATATATATATATATATATATATATATGTGTGTGTATCTGTATTCTATCATTCTTTGTTTTGCTTGAGCTTAAGTTAAGACAGACTAGTATTTTTAAAAACTTGAAGCTGTATTGCCACATTTCCTTGTTTAATTTCAGAGTGAATCAATACTTTTGACATTCCTGTCCTTTATTTTCTTTCTGAGACGATCAAAGGTTTTTAACATATTCATTATGTTTTGGTCACTCCCATCTAAGGTCATGGATCCAAAATACCAGGTGCCATACCCTGCGGAAATCACTGCCCAGGCCAATCAAGCTTACACGCACATTAAACAAGAAGAGCATGAGGAAGACTACCAAAAGTCAATAGAAGCTGTCACAAAACAACTACGAGATGTGGAGGGTCATGACATGAGCAAGACAATGAAAGACCAAATTCGGCAGTGGTTCATTGAATGCCGGTAAGGTGGCGCAGAGGGGGTGGTATGATTTTTGCTATAATAGTATAATATTTACACATTTAGTGACATTAATTATGTAATTAGTTCTCTCCTTTTTCCTGTGTGTGGGTGTGTGTTTTTTGTTTTTTCTTAAACAGTGATGCTACCGGATCATTTCCAGACTACCCTGATGAAGAGGATGGTGGCTCAGCTATAATTTTTGCAGAAAAGAACCCTCAGCAGGTAAAGCCCTCGGTCAAGAGTATGGTTGCATATTTTTTCAGTAGTTTGCAGAAGGAGAATCCTGTTGGGTATACATTTTTTTTTTTCAGTTAATGGAAGAAATTGCTGAAAAGGAAGAGGTGGATTCGAGCAACAAACCAAAAGGGAAGGAGGAAAAGAAGGAAAAGGGGAAAAAAGACAAGGGGAAAGATGAAGAAGAAGTAAGGCCTCAATGTTATTAAATACATTTTTATTTATTTGATATAACATTGAGTAACTTCTGGTGTTATCAGCCTTTTTTAGATGGATAAAAGTATTTAACAAGAGGGATTTCAACCCAACTCTTGCTGGCTGTTTCACTCCTTTGCATTGCACATTCAGTGAACCAAAATAACTTTTGAACTTGAATTTGGAACCGCAGGAAGAGGAGGCAGGGTTGAAGATGCTTCCTTCAGCTTTTCTGTCAGACTTGGAAGTGGGAAACAAAACCTATACAGGTACGTTTAAATCAAAAACAGGTGAAGATATCCTGTAGTTAATAGCACTTTGAGGGTATGTTGTTTAAGTAGGTGGCCATTACTCATTCCTGATAAGGCCTGAAGTAAATGTTTGTCATCCTCAGATGTTTGGAAAACCCGCAATGAATCTAAAAATTTCAGCCAGAGGCACGAGGTGGAACTGATCAAAGAAGAAAAGAGGAAAGTCATTGAGACAGAGATTCGATTGCAGGTGATGCTGACCACAGAATACTAAAGCAAAAAGCCAGTACTGTCATTTTTACAGGCTGATAAAACTGCAGGGTGGTGCTTGCAAGTTGGGGTTACACTGTTTTGTGTTTGGCCAATTCAGTGTCCCAGACACTGGTGTTTAAAAGTGATAACAGCACCACTTGTTGTTGCACTCAGTGGTCTGTTCTTCTTATATCAGGTAGATGAGCAGATGAGACAAGAGCTGGCTGACTGGAAGCTAGCTGTGGATAAAGACAAGGGTGGTAAAACCAAAGGAAATGCAAAGGTACTAAAGTGAAAGACAGTGGTCACAGTTTACATTGATTTCCTTGAGCTGTTTCCTGATAATGTTCTTTTACTCCACAGAAAAAGAAAGGATCTAAGAGTGGAAAGAAGAAGAAAAAGGAGAAAGATCTGACAGCTGATAGGTGAGGTCTCACAGAGCCTATACCTGATGAACAGTGTATGGTTTTCTGTACAGACTTGAATTGTATAAATTGGATAAATTAGTAAATGCAAATACTGGAGAAAACGATTACATCCTTCATTCACATCTACTAGGACTCTTGAGTCTCTCTGTCAGGAGCTGGTGGAACAGGGCTTGTTGAAAAAGGCAAATAATGTTGGCCTGCAGGATTACTTGGGTAAGACTTTGTATATTATTTGTGTAGACTGGTGTGTCATCTTTCAGAGCTTTTTTTGTCCTGTCTTTTGTCTTTTATGATCATAATTGTATGTGAGATTTTAATGTGACTACAATCGATGCAATGACACAATACAGAACTCTTACTTTGTATAGTCCAGGTAAATTATGTAGTGGCATGCTGCCCTCTTCTGGTTGGTGACTGCCAAAGCACTATGATCACAATGAACAATTCCAAATGAGCACAGTAATCTTTGTGGTCAAATGCAGATTTTGAAGTTCTTTCTTGGAGTTTTTGCAGTGATTAACCATGCAGATGAATAACTACTAGTGTAATAGTTGTTCCCTCCTGTTCCTAGGCGACTATAGCTACCTTGGGACAACACTGAGGCAAAATGACATTGAGCCCATGCCTTCACTGTCAGATGTGCGACAAGTCTTAACTCTATATGCAATTTTACCATTAGGTATGAAAGTTATTCACTTTATATTTAAAATAAATATAGCTAAAAATGGTTTGCAGTTTGGATATAAGATGTGTGTTATTTGCAGGCTCTCAGGTGGTACACGAGAATGCTCCTCTGATAAAGGCCATCCTGCTGACAGGGCCGGGAGGTGTAGGTAAGAAGATGTTGGTCCATGCAATCTGCCACGAGACAGGTGCCAACCTGTTCGATCTGTCACCTCTGAACACGGCAGGAAAGTACCCAGGCAAGAGTGGCCTCGCCATGATGCTTCACATTGTCTTTAAGGTGAGACACTGGTTTTCAAAAGAATCCAGTGCCATTGCCATCTAGCAAGTTTATAACGTAAGTCTATATGTGTAAAGGTTAACATTGTTACAGATCTACCACCATTATATATGGTATGCAGGGCAGTATGTTGTCATGTAATACCCAGCAATGCTGGTTAAGTATAAAATATGGTGATTTTAGCATAAAATTATTATATTTTGACTCGTCCAGAAAGTAAAAATGCTGTTCCTCAATCATCTTCGCACAGGTTGCGAGACTGCTGCAGCCTTCAGTAATATGGATTGAAGATGCAGAGAAAATGTTCTATAAGAAAGTTCCCAAGGAAGAAAAAGAGGTACTCCTGAGCATCATGAACACTGGGTAGCATCATTATGTTGCACTAATTTTTCAGTTATTTAGTCACATGGTGATTATAAATGTTTTTTGTGTGTAAACAGTTAGACCCTAAGCGGTTGAAGAAAGATTTGCCCAAGTGCCTTAAGTTGATCAAAGGGGAAGATCGTGTTCTGATAGTAGGAACAACTAAAGACCCTCTAAGTGCTGATATTAAGTCACTGTGCAAAATGTACAGCAAAATCATCCTCATCCCAAGACCTGACTACGGCTCAAGATACAGTAAGAAAAGAGTACAATAGGAGAGAAATTTTAGTATTGAAATTTATGTTTGTGGTCTTTATTAAGTAGTTATGAAAAGTGACTCCTCTGACTGTGTTTGCCTTCAGTCTTGTGGAAGCAACTGATTCAAAAGAAGGGAGGTGAGGTAACCAAGGCCCTGGACCTCAGCTCTCTTGCCAAGATTTCTGATGGCTACACTCCAGGTCACATGGTCCAGGTGGTCCAGAGTGTTGTCACGAAGCGTCGCATCCTTCAGCAGGCTAACAGACCCCTGACTGCTGCTGAGTTTGTTGCTCCTTTAGCCAAGTTTGACCCCGTGTTTCAGGAAGAGGAAGAAGCCCTTAAAGTAAATTGGATATGTCATATTTAATTTATTCATCATTACATTTTCATCACTGTGATTATTTATTTGTCAGTCTATTTTAATGGAAACATGCTTGTTTATACTTCTTCCTTGCATGTCACCAGAACTGGTACGCAAAGACCCCCCTGGGAAAGAAGAGGATTAAGGCTGCCACAGGAAAGGAAGAAGAAGAAGCCCCGGTTAAAGGCAAAGATGCAAAGAAGAAAGGGAAAAAATAGTTTGTGACCCTTTTTTAATCACAGCTGAATGTAGTTAAATATTTATTGAAGCTCGAATGAGAATTAGCTGATGAAGACAACACTGTCCCACTCTCTACAAAATAAATACAAAATTGAATAAAAAGTGAGTTTTCCAATACCATGAGAGCAGAGTTTAAGGATGCAGTGAAATGCCTGTTCATGTTGTAATGGTATATAATATGATGTAAAGTAGATAAAATCTTCTTTGTACTATTACTAAAACTTAGTTTAAGGAGACAGAACACCACAGCTCACATTCTACGAATAGGATTTTGTACATTCATATGGGAAGGTGCTAACATCTGTCTTGTAATCAAATTAAGAGTTCCTCTAATGAGAACATAAATAGTCATTATATTTGTGTTGTCACTTATTGAATGTCAGCATTGTGTACTATCTCCATCGTATATTTTATGTGATGCTTTAAACATTGTCCTAACTACTTCCTGCATGTGATTACATATATGTTTGGAGTGGATCTACTAGTTGACTGATCCTTATGAAATATTTACCTCAGTAACATAACCCACCAAAGGCGCTCATATGCCTCCAAGCAAACTACATACTTTATAAGAATGTGATCTAAAATAAATTAAGTGGCATGGCTCTAGAGGACAAACTCCTATGGCTATAGTTATCAGACCCAAGGCCACGCTGTAATTAGACATGCCAAGATTGTCTGTTTTATTTGCTTCATTCAAGGGCATCCAATGTTTTTGCTGTATGGCTATAGCTGCCTGGCTATGACACTTGGTTGTGAGTACCACATTTGGGATGTTGCTGACAGAAATAAAACTACCATCATGGTCTTATACCCAACAGCGGGGTGAAGTGTTTTTGTGGGTCACCTAGTCCGAGCCCATTATTAGATGACTACTGTAGGCGCAAGTTTGTGATTTAATATACAGTATTTGTATATTATTATATTCCGGTATTCCTTCATTATGACCGCTGTCAGGTGAAGAGACTCTGGACCAGAAGAAATGTGACACACAGGAGGGGGAGTGTTTCCATACATGGATTCAGGGGCTTAGGTGGAGTGTTCAGCTGTTTTGTCAAGTTCTAAATTCACTCAACACATCCTCACATTGCCTTGGTTCTTTTAACATTAGTCTATTTTTAGCCTATGTGCACCATCAATAGGATGCTGCACACGTGAAGGCCCACATTTCAAGATCGCTGCTCGCTGGCTTCAATGTCGCAGGACATGATTTGGGGCCTCCTTCATCTTTCGAAGAGTATAGCATCCTGTTTAGAAACCAGCATCAAAAAACCATAGAATGCCCTGAATTTTAACCCAGTAAGATACAAAGTGTTCTGCTGGGGGTACATAAAAATACCAAAAAGTCTATATGTGTATTTAAACTCACTTTTTATTCTGTCATACTCAAATGTCGGAGAAAACTGTTAAAAGCTTTGTAATGTATGGGCTGCTGGAGACTTGAAAAGAGAGACTGGTTTGCTTCTGTGGGCCACCATTCCCCATTCAGTGATGACAAGTTGTTTTGTGTGCCCTAGCAGGACTGCATAGAGATTATCCTGTTGATAGAGTTTCACTGGACTTAGGAGTGCTCAGTGGCACATGGAGCTGTCTATCAAACTGAGATGAACACAACGCTGGGCAGTGCTGGCTTTGTTCTGTCGGGATGGCTGGATGAGGGAACCCCACAAACTGAACACCTTAGTCCATCATTTCTCGGAGAAGGAGGAGCTAGAGGAAGGTTGATTGGCATTAACCAGTTCTGTAGGTGAATGGACATTTACACTGCATGGCTGCTGTATTTTTCTGAATGTTTTGTGCTTTTCAGTTTGATCTCTCAGGGCTTGGTTTTATACAGTGGTCAACCACTATGCCACTTTTTCTATGTAATATATACAGTATATGTTTAAGGACAGGTACATATGGGCTTTCATGTGTAGACTCACTAGTGATGACCTGCTGAAATAGGAGCTTAATATTGCTTAATCTTTTGTGACCTTTTCAACTGTGGCAGTGGTGGAAACTCCCTGTGGAGATCCATGGACTTTGATCTCTCTGACCTGAGGTTTAGGACACTGACAGATATGGGTCAGTATTGTAAAAAGCATGTGATAAAACTGCATCAATCGTATACTAGTAGAATGCTCAATTTTTATTGGAAGAGATCTTAGATCGCAGTGCGAGCAACCTGGTACAAAAAAAAGGGTAGTGTTTGATTGTATGTAAAACAACACTTTCATCTGCAGACGGTACAAGTTATACAGACCACTGACCTACATCATCATGCCACGTGAAGGTAACTTAAACTTTCACTGACAGATGCTTTCAACTAATTTGCACTTGTGTCTCACTCAAGAAAACCATCAAACACACTAAGCCCATTGTATACATTTTGATTGTTTTCGATGGTTCCATTGATGGTGGGCATGAGTTGCCTCACACAATTAAAGCCAAAGCTATCTTTGCGCTCATACTGACAGAAGGCTATTTTGGAGGTTAGTATGTGGGGAGAGATATGTCAGCTGTTCAGCACTACGCTCCATCACAGCAAAAAAAAAAAGAAAGCGCTATAGGCTGTCTGCTTTAGAGACTGGGACGCAGTTTGCAGACCTCGACATGTTCTTCTTTGGCTGAACGATTGTTGTTAATCTTAAAGGCTTTGTGAAAAACAAGACAAGACCTGGACAGATCTGTTGCCATGGTGGATGTTTTATCCAGTTGTTTTTAGGTGAAGGGCATTGGTGCAACAAGAGAATATGCAAGGATCTTTTCTTTCTAGAGTGGGTACATCAAGTGATCTGGTATGTTCTGGTTTTATTTTGGTAGTGTATCTCTTCATTATTTGTTTGGCTTGTTTACATACTTTAATAGCACCAAAGGGAAGTCACCATTGAACATGGTGTTAATGGAAGTTTTTGATAAGTTGAGTCTTATATTGCACAATTATATTAGGAAATGTCTTATAAAAGGTTAAAGTCTTAATAGGTAAATACAGTATTTCACAATCACCAAGGTATTTTTTTTTTATTTTCATAGTATTTAATCATTTATGTGGCATCTTGAAGAAGATATCACCTCATATTAGGCCTCTAGAGGCAGTTTAGATAATTCTTTGCAAATTTAGTGTCACTGTGTGATGCATTATGAAATATCATTTTAGTTGGCAAATAATGAGAGAGTGTTTTATCATTTCAATCATATCGATCAGTTTAGAAATTGGCAGTTCTCATTGCCCTCTTATTTTTTTTTAAGACTTCCCTTTTCTCTGAGTTCAGTGCATGCAGCGTGATAGAGGAGGCATCACAGCTGAGTCTATATTGGTGGTGCTGAGCTCAGCCAAGTGAGGTGACAGAGATTACTTTGCTCTTCATTACTGAGGAGGACTGGCACACCATCACAGGGATCAACCATATGAGAGCGTAGTCATTTGTATGCATTTTGATTGGCCTTTTTGAAGTAATGGTTTATATCATTATTAGCATGAGAAGAATTTGTTTGTCATTTGAAACATAGTTGTACTCATAACAAATACAGGGTATACATTGCAACAGGTTATTTACTAAACTCTATCTACAGAGTGTCCCTGAAAAAAGCTGAATGCCAGTGTCAATGTGAATGAGCTGTGAATGAGTTGGTGGAAGATTCATGGTAGGACAGAAAATTCTTTATTATAGTGGTAAGATGGATTATGAGACATTACCTGATATGTATTTTTTTAAATCATATTGCAGTTCTAGCCCTTCTGTGATTTCTGTGGTAAAAAGCAAAGATTCCCAAATCACACTGAGAGAAGAGCAGGAGACATGGGAGACAACAAACCTGGAGGAATAATAGCGGCAGCAAGTAAGTGCTCCTCAAATACACAGCTGTACCTTTCAGTGTGGTTCTTTCAGTGTGAGTGAGAAGATTTCAGATCTCTGATATTGTGTGTGTGTTTGTTTGCCAGAGAACCGGCTGCAGGTGGTGAGGGGTCTGGAGGATGTGGAGGTGTCCGAGTGTGAGAGCTGCACCTTTGAGGTGACCCTGAACTTGGCCTACATCGAGGGTGTGTGGACCAGGGATGGGATGCAGCTCAAGTCTAAGCCCAACTGTCGCATCAGCATGCATGGGAAGAAACACTCCCTCATATTGAAGAGGGTGGCTCTAGGTGACGCTGGCCAGTTCTCTTTTCAGGCTAATGGCATTCAGACCGCAGGTCGACTCAGTGTGAGAGGTAAGGTAACACAACAGAATGAACTACTTCCAATGTCAAGTCAAGTCAAGACATGACCAAGGTCTAAACATTTAAATGATGGGACAGCCTCATAAGTATGTCTGATCATACCACTTTAGGTAACAGCCCAATACACCTAAAAAGATTTATTAATGTATACAATTATAAATGAACAAATAAATAAGTCTGTAAATAAGTCCACTATGCTAGTGGCAGAGCACCCACCCACCCCCATATAGCCACAGCTATTGGATTGATTTCTCAAAAGTTCGCATAGACATTCATGGATCCCAGACGATGTATTCTAATGAATTGTAATAGCTTTGATCCACCTGACTTATCATCTAGCACCATCATCAGGTCAGAATTTCAATTTGTCCACTAGTTAAATGTATGAACCTGCATAACTAATGACATCCCCGTCACCCTCACCTGTACTTTGCACTTAGTGCAAATCTAGAAATGTTAGCATACTAATATGTTAAACTAAGACGTGAACATGGTAGATATTATAGCTGCTAAACATTGATTATCATTGTGAGCATGTTAGCATTATGATGTAAGCATTCAGCTAAAAACATCACTGCGCCTAAATACAGTATCACATATCCACCAACACTGTAGACTAGACTTGTTTTAACACTTAACACTTTCAGTCGTTTTGAACCACGACATTAGAGTGAATGAACAAGCAACACTCAAACACTTGCTGAAAAGTTTATGGGCATGGTTTGGGTATCTTCTGCCAGCTAGGGACATCCATATAATGAAGGAGCTGGAGGATGTAGACACAATGGAGCGGCAACCTGTGACCTTCCTGTGTGAGGTCAACCAGGTGGATGTGGATGGTCGGTGGTACAGAGATGACTGCAGGATCCGACCTGGGGACAACATCAAGATCAGACACCAGGGCAAGTGATCAACCACATGGTCTTTACAGAAACTAACGGCCCAATGATATAAAATCCTCCCCAATGCTTGCGTCATAGTAGGCCTACATTCAACTTTGCAAAGAAGCTGTGTTTGAGTGGGCATAGTGGTTGTAATAGGGAGTTCCTAGGTGTAAATATATAAGAAAGAAATAAAAACCTGGGTAAATACAATACATAAAGATAATAAACATTTTGCTTTGATCTGATTGCAGGTAAAACTCACACCCTGCTCTTCAGGTCAGTCAGGCCAGAGCATGCTGGAGAGATCAGATTCACTGCAGAGCGTGTCTCATCCTATGCAACTCTCACAGTACAAGGTGAGCCACCAGACTGTTCATATCACAATATAACAAGGATTTATGCAGGAAATGATGCCTGTCCTTATTTCTTCTCCTCTTCAGAGCTCCCAGTCCAAATTGTGCGTCCTCTGAAGGTCAAGATAGCCATGTATCACCACCGGGGTCTACTGGAGTGCCAGGTGTCACGGCCTAATGCACAGGTCAGGTGGTACAAGAACAGGAAGGAGCTCCTGCCTAGTACGAAGTACCAAGTCATCAGCCAAGATGTCTACAGGCAGCTGACCATCGATAATGTCTGCTCCTCAGATGAGGACACCTACACCTGTGATGCAGGAGATGACAAAACCTCATGTCAGCTCCTGGTAGAGGGTGAGATACCTGTTTTCACAGTAATCATAGCAGTCACAATGTCAAGTTGATGGCCAACCGTATGCTTTGCATTCATGTAGCTACACTTTTACAATACTTAACCAAATGGTTGATGCACATATGCACATGTGTGAACTATACAGTCAGAAGACTTTATTTGAATGCTAACAGTCAGGAGTTGCGTCAGTAGTGGTAATGTGTATTATGGCTGTACATGCAGAGCAGGCTATCAGCATAGTGCGGGGGATGAGCGCAGTGGAGGTGATGGAGCCAGAGCCGGCATTGTTCCACGTGGAGACCAGCTTGAAGTCAGGGAGGCCTCCGAAGTGGACCCTGAACGGTGAGGTGCTGGAGCCATGCGCAGCGGTGAACATCGACAGGGAGGGCACCCTCCACAGTCTCTGTCTCACCTCCACTGAAAGCTCAATGTCCGGCCCTGTGCTCTTTGTAGCTGGAAAGAGTCGCTCCACCGCTCAGCTCACTGTGAAAGGTGAGTATCGAAATGTTCTTAATCTTAATCTAAAAAAATGAAAATGAAATATCATATAGTGTTTAGAGTATTATTTTGTCTAGCCTACCACAACCACATCCATCACATATCTTTGCACTGACTTAGCAATAATCAGCTGTTGTTTTTATTTATTCATATACTGTAACTAGGAATTACTAGCTCTGCAACAGGAGGATGGAGCATACATGGAGACGCGAATTAAATTATAATAATATAGTAATACAAAAAGAAGTAATTTTGTTGTCAGACTGAATTTTCATCTCAAAAGAGCATCTCTGAAAACAGGCATTGAACTGTAAGTACCTACTCTGTGTCTTTGCCCTACAAGGGACTGGAAACCTTTCCTGTTTAATGTTTTATCAGTGCTAAGAGGTACTGTAAAGTGAATGAATGTGGACATTTTTAGGAATGTCTCTTTAAGCACTCTTTACATATTTTCCCCTGCAGAGCGACCTCTTCAGGTTCTTCACCACTTGGATGATGTGGAGGCGAAGGAGAACAGCTCTGTGACTCTGAGCTGTCAGTTTGCCCCTTCTCCCAGGGTGGTGCGGTGGTTTAAAGGTCGAACTGCTCTGAAGACTTCGAACAAGTACAGCATGAAGAGAGAGGGGAAACGAGCAGGGCTGACCATTCATGGCTTGACAGCGATGGATTCAGGGCAGTACCGCTGCATGGCTGGAGGTTCACAGAGCACAGCACATGTTAAGGTAGAAGGTAGGTTAAACATGATTTGGGAAAACTGGGTTATAAGGTGCTATATGGTACTGTTCAATATATTCAGATTTTTATCATACTGCTTTCTTTACGTTAGTTCAGTTAATTTCTTTATATAATCACTTGTGTCTTTGTTTTGTAGCACGAACACTTAAGTTGGTCAAACACCTTGAGCCGGTGGAAATTGAGGAAGATGGAGTCGCCACTTTCTCATGTGAGCTTAACTATGTGGTCGCCAACGTGGAGTGGCTTCTCAACAATGTCCGCCTCTATTCCAACGCCATCAACAGGATCCAGCACATGGGCACAATGCACAGCTTCATAATCAAGAAGCTGCGGCCACAGGAGAGCAGGGTCACCTTCAAAGCAGGCCTTCTCTCTGAGACTACAACCTTAAGGGTCAAAGGTCAGCCATAGCAATAACTGAAGTGTATGAACAGACTTTTTTTTTTTTTTGTTAATTTCTGAGAAACATCTGAACACCGTTAATGAAATGATGCTGCTCTTTGTCTCCAGAGCGCCCAGCAGTGTTCCTGAGGTCTCTGGAGGATGCAGTAGGCGAAGAGCAAGGGGAGGTCTGCCTGCAGTGTGAAATTTCCAAAGAGATGGTCACCCCTGTTTGGAGAAAGGATGGTATGGTCCTGACAGCTGATGATAAACATGAAATACTCCAGTTTGGGAAGTCCATGGCGCTGATTGTCCATTCACTGAGCAAGGATGATGCTGGACAGTACACCTGTGACCTGGGCACCAGCCATTCTAAGGCTAAAGTTACAGTACATGGTGAGGAGGAGGAAATATGTTGCTGGTTATTTGGGAAGAGCTCTATTCCTTGAAAATCAAGTGTTCTGCATACATAAAGATGTCTGTTAAGCTGTAACCTCAGATGACACTTGGATGCCATTCTGTTACAAAGATGTTAAATGACTCTGTGGTGTCAAGTGTTTCTCTCTCTGCAGCTTTGAGATCTGGTACACAGGTGGTACAGTTAAATATAAGTTCCACTGATAAGATATATTTACTGTAATAGAGCTACTGTGTTGTTATATTTATCTACAGATTTACACATCACAATTGTTCAACGTATAAAGACAACCTCAGTTCTGGAGGGTGAAAGCTGCACCTTTGAGTGTCTCCTCTCTCACGATCTCGATGATGAGCCTCTCTGGTCGATCAATGGCCAGGTGGTGGCCGCTGACAACCGTGTCCAGGTTATCAACAATGGCCGCAAGTATAAGATGACCATCAAAGATGCCTTACTTACTGACGCTGGAGACGTGGTCTTCACAATTAACGACCTCAGCTGTAGGACCATGCTTTTTGTAAAAGGTGAATACCTGGCTGTGTCAGATAAAATTATCAGCAATTTTAGTTAAGTTTGTATATGTGAGGATACATGTCTCTGCATTTTATTTTGAAAAGAGCAACTCTGTAGATGCATTTATACAAAAAATGCCTGAATGTGAGTGAACGCATTCCCCCTACTTTAGAGAAACCGATGCACATCTTCAGGGACCTGCTGAACGTCAAGGCAGTGCCAGGCGAGGACGCTGAGCTGAGCTGTGAAATCACCAAACCAGAGGCCACCATCCATTGGCTGAAAAATGGCCATCTAATCAGAAAGAGCCCTAAATATGAGATGAGTGTGGAGAAGAACTTGGCGCGGTTGGTGATCAAGAATACCACCATTAGAGACTCTGGGGAGTACTGCTGTGAGGCCGAAGGTGTTGCCTCTCGTGCCAAGCTGGAGATCAGAGGTAGGTGAGAGTATTCAAAATAAATGGTATCCGATAACAATGCAATGGAGTGTTCCTTACTGCACTGTTGTGCAAACCAGTGCTGCTCTCCGATGTCCCATTTTACAATGTAGGTCGGTAACTGCTGTACTCAGTGTGAAGGTTGACTCAATTTTCTGAACTTCACTATACCTCTCAGAACTCCAGCACACATTTGCAAGGGAGCTGAGGGAGACACGAGCAGAGGAAAAGGGTAAAGTGACCCTGGAGTGTGAGACCAGACGGCCAGCCAAGCGTGTGAAATGGCTGAAAGGAATGATGGACCTGAGGTCTGGTAGGAAGTACGTCATCAGGCAGAAGGGTGTGGTGCTGTCCCTGACCATCACCTGCCTGGAGAAGTCAGACACGGATGTTTACACATGTGATGTCGGTACCATGCAGAGCCGAGCACAGCTGACTGTGCAGGGTGAGACCATAGGGCAAGGGAACACTGGGCACTGCATCACTGTGGTTTTGTTGTGTTCATCTAAAGTCAGCTGGGGCCAAGTGGTAGCTGTGGGTGACACCAGGACAGATTTTTACATCAATTGTCAGCTCAGTGGTAGAAATTCTGGGATATATTATTAACTGAGTGATGAATTAATTTACAAAGTGAATACTGATGCAGTTGATACATGTTATATACTAACAATACTAACAGAACTGCCAACATATCGACAAATTGATACATGTCAGCACAATATCCTTAACATGGTTATAAATGCTAGTCTAAAAATAATGCAGGTTTTATCATTATTGAGTATAATACTCAATAAATAAACATTAAGGATGTTGGTTGAGGCTTCAAGTACCTACTCAATGTGATGTGTATTGGTTTTAAAGACTTTTCAATGTCTTCCATGTTTCATTTAGGCCAGAAGGTATTGATCCTGGATGAACTAGAGGATGTTGAGTGTCTAGAAGGTGACACGGTCACATTCAGATGTCGAATCTGTCCCAGTGACTACATCGGGGTCAGGTGGTACCTGGATGAGACTCTGCTGTACACCAATGAGCTCAATGAGATTCAGATGGTACCCGGAGGCTACCACACCCTCACGTTTAAGCAGCTTGCCCGCAAAGACACTGGCACCATTTCATTTTCAGCAGGGGACAAAAGATCGTACGCTTCACTACTGGTTAGAGGTGAGTCTTTGATCAGAGTTGTAATCTGTGCTTTTATGTCACGTTTCTTTTGGCCTTGATTTGGTTTCATCTCTTTCTGTTCCCAGAGAGGCGCCCCACCATCATTAAAGCACTGGAAGACTGTGAGGCTATTGAAGGAGGTGGTTTGGTTTTGTCCTGTGTGACCTCCAAGCCATGTCACATCCTCTGGTACAAAGATGGCTGCCTGATGTGGAGCTCCTCCAGATATTTTGCCAGTCGTTCCGGCTGTGAGGCTCGACTAACGATCCGGGAGGTCTGCAACAGTGATGCTGGGGTGTACGAGTGCAGCGCTGGATCTGTTACAACTAGGGCTGTTGTAACTGTCAAAGGTATGAATAGAAATCGGAAAGTCTATTGCTACAGGACTTTCATTGCTTTGGACTAGCACTGAATGACAAAGGTTTCTGAAAAAAAATATGAGTAATGGTGTACCCTCTTTTTTTTTTTTAGCCATCCCAGCAGAGTTCACTCAGCCTCTGAAAACTGTGGAGGCCAAAGAGGGAGAGACTGTAACCCTGACCTGTGAGTACTCTTTGCCTGGGGTCCAGTTCCACTGGAGGAAAGGTTTCGAGAGTATCAGGCCTGGAGACAAGTACATGATGAAACAGAGGAAGACAATCAACTCTCTAACCATCAAAGGCGTGAAGCCGGAGGACTCAGGAGAATATACCTGTCAGTGCCGAGATCACCGCACAACAGCAAGCATCAAAATACATGGTAAGACCCATTTAATTCATCTGTCATCACATTTTACCAAATCCTACTCAAAACTTTTGGTTCAATTTCAATTCAATTTCATGTTCAGTTTAATAAAATCATTATTTAAATGGCCGGTTTCAGTGGTGAAGCACTACATAACACGTTTTTCTCAGAGGGCTTAATCTGTTACACTTACACTGAAAGTCAATGAAGTATTTTTTGTGACTGACAACTTAATTGACATTGTGTTTAAAGGGATAGTGCAGATGATTTTGACATAAGGTGAAACTCACTTGGAATGATATTGTTGAATGCTGAATGCTAGTTTAGTTCCCATGTTGCAGCCGTGGTACAATATCACTGCAGATGAGCTAGACTTAACATCTTACAGTATGTCAGCATCTGAATTAGATTTGCCTATTAATTATATTGAAAATGTGTGTTGTGCCACCTCCTCTTTTTCCAGCTATTCCTATTTCATTCATACAACAACTGAAGAACATGCAAGCAGAGGAGGGCAACAATGTCATATTGCGCTGTGAGCTGTCCAAACCTGGAATACCAGTCGAATGGAGGAAAGGAGATGAGCTGCTGAAGAATGGGGTCAAGTACCAGATAAGGAAATGGGAAACCACATTGGAGCTTCTGATATGGAAGCCTGTGCCTCAGGACAGTGGGATCTACAGCTGTGTGTGTGCTGATCAGATGACATCTGCCACTGTCAAAATCACTGGTGGGAAGTAATTTATCAATAGACTGATTGATGAGTTTTAAATTTTAACAAATAAAGTTTATAATTCTAAATAATTATTTATCTAAATGTATGTTCATCCATGTCTCCCCAGCCCTCCCGGTCACTTTCAAGCAGAAGCTGAGGAATGTGCAGATCGAGGAGGGCAACACAGCGACTTTACGCTGTGAGCTGTCTAAACCTGGTCATACTGTGGAGTGGAGGAAGAGGGGGGATGAACTCATCAGGAATGGAGAGAAATATCACATTCGGCAGAGAGACTTGCTGATTGAATTGAGGATCTTTGATGTGACACCTGAGGACAGCAATATCTACACATGCATCTGTGGAAATATAGAGACCACTGCAACTCTGACTGTGAATGGTAGGTGTTAATTGTTTACATTATTTTTTTAGGTTTTTTAGATTATTTTTATCTGTTTACTTAAGGTTTGTTTTCCTTAGATTGATTGAAAGAGAACTGTAATTCCAAAGCAAAATTATATGCATACAGTTACTTGATTTCAAGGGCTGAAATGATTCTATTCCTTTCCATCACATGACTTTAATGTCGTCTTGTAGCTCTTCCCATCACCTTCAAGCAAAAGCTGAAGAACCTCCAAGTCGAGGAAGGACACAACATCACATTGTATTGTGAGATCTCTAAGCCTGGAGTCCCAGTGGAGTGGAGGCTCTCAGGAGATCTTCTGGAGAACGGAGAGAAGTACCAGATTAAGCAGAGGGCCTCTGCTCTGGAGTTGACTATCAGAGATACTGTGCCTGAAGACAGTGGTGTATACACCTGTGTGTGTAGAGAGCAGAAGACAAAGGCCACTGTTAAAGTTATTGGTAAGCTCAATGTGTGTGATGTGTGTGGTGATGGCAATCTGCTGCGTACTTGTTCACTTGTGTCAGTAGTATTGCCGGTATTCTGCTTTACATGTATAAACAGCATCTGTGTTTGGTTTAACAGCGGTTCCTGCCACATTTAAAGTGAGCCTGAAGAGCCAGGAGGCCGAAGAAGGGAACAGTGTGACGTTACGCTGTGAGTTGTCAAAGAAGGGAGTCCCATTGCAGTGGCAGAGAGAGGGCCAGGAGCTCTCTGAGGAGCTATCTCAAGGAAAGTATCAGATGAAAGTAGAAGGAAAGACAGCTCTGATGACCATCCTCAGTGTCCAACCAGAAGATGCAGGGAAGTACAGCTGCATCACAGGAGATGAGAAAACCACAGCTGAAATCAAAGTGAAACGTAAGTTTACAGCATGAAAAGACCTTATCATCACTCCAAAGGCAACTGCATAGTTACAGAACAGTTTTTCAGGTGTTGGTTTTGAACAGTGTTCTCAAAATTTCTAGTAATTCTTAATCTCATTAGATTATATAACAATACAAATATACATAAATTTACTATAATGTAAAGTCAAAAATCACATATCCATGATGCCAAAATGCACGGCTTATTTCCACAAGGAACAGCAGCATAAATATTTAGGTATCTGCTCCTCATATTGCAAAAACAAAATCCAAGGATTCAGTAGAAAAGCCCAAAGAGTCTTGAAGAGGGCTCTGCCTGGGCTCATAGAATTTGAGTTATAATTCCTTCATTCCTGGAGTAAGCAGAGAGAGCAGGGTGAATAAAGTTTCTTTTGTGTCTGCAACAGCACTTCCTGTGACATTCAAACGAGAGATCCAACGCCTGGTGGCGAGGGAAGGGGAGAGTGGAGTTTTCTGCTGTGAGCTCTCCAAACCTGCAGCTCCAGTGGAGTGGAGGAAAGGCAGAGTCATCCTGAAGCCTGGAGAGAAATATGAGATGAAGCAGGAGGGACGTCTCACTAAACTGGTCATCAACAACTTGGAGGAGAGCGATGCTGGGAAATACACCTGCAAGACTAAAGACAGCCAATCAACTGCTGAACTCACCGTACAAGGTGAGACAGGTTCTTGTCAGAAATTCTCTCTCAAACTTTTGATTCCTGATCTTGTAAAACATTTGTCTTTCTCCTTTTGTAAATTTTCCCAATGTATTCAACAGAATCACCTGAGCGCAGACGACAAAGAGGTCAGCTTCAAAATAGTACAATAAAAACAAAATAGACCCAGTAGGTGCTAGCACTGTGTGACCTCCATTCTGTACTGTAGTCTCACTAAACCTTAATGGAGAGTCTATTTTTGCCCATCTAGTCATCCATCTTGACAGCCTGACTATGGCTCATGTCATATGGGATGTTTAGACAATAGTTTGAATTTTGATCCGCAACTAAACTGTAGCATTAGTATTACATGTAGCATTAGTGTTTTTCATGTAAGTAATATTACATTTGATTTAACTAATCACTGATAACTGAATATAATTTAATCCATTATTATTAAATAATCTATAATGGATTGTATTATAATCCGTCATCAGTGTCCACTGTTCAATGTAAATATAATAGTTTGATTATGAGCATGACTTGTCTTGTAGGTATACCTGCCATGTTGCTTACATCACTGCTGCAACATGTCAGTGGAGTATTTATTCTGTTCATTGTTATGTTGACTGTTGTTACCATGTTATCATCCCTAGTTATTTTGAAGCAGGGGGAATTTAGAAGGGTCATTTTGTGTATTCATTCTCCATCCATTCTCATTTCCCTCTAGATTGTATCCTTGTGTTAGCTGTACCATGTGAAAAACCCTCATTTGGGGTTTATTGGCTAATCTCTAATGTGGTCATTCGAGCCATAGTATTTACTTCTTTAAGCTTTTCAGGAGGTTTTCACATTTGTTGTACAAGTGCTTAAACATTTTTTCTCATTCTCGATTGTTGACAGCTTTACCGCCAAGTTTCAAGCTGCCGCTAGTTAACCAGGAGGTGATGGAGGGGAACAGTGTGGTTCTGCGCTGTGAGCTCACCAAACCTGCCCCATCGGTGGAGTGGAGGAGAGGAGGTGAGCTGCTGAAGAATGGAGACAGGTACCAGATGAGGAAGAAGGACCTCCAGGTGGAGATGAAGATTGTGGACCTCAGTCTGGATGACACTGGAGATTATACCTGTATATGTGGAGAAGAGAGGACAACAGCTAGGATCATGGTGAATGGTGAGCACTGCATCCAACACAGCAGGGTGCATTTTGTTGCTTTAATGCTTTTGCAAGTACTCAAGGACGTCATGACCTGACAGTATGTCAAAAAAGTAAAATGTAAATGTGGCACATGTAAATGTTGCTGGTTTTAAAGTAAGGGTAAAAGTAAAGAGTAAAACGACATCAAGAACTAAATGCAAAATGGACAGTGTGGAGTTACTGAAGGAATTTCTGGGCCACATCTTGTTGTATAAATGTCCATATTTATAGTACAGTATACAGTGGGTACGGAAAGTATTCAGACCCCTTTAAATTTTTCACTCTTTGTTTCATTGCAGCCATTTGCTAAAATCAAAAAAGTTCATTTTTTTTCTCATTAATGTACACTCAGCAACCCATCTTGACAGAAAAAAACTGAAATGTAGAACTTTTTGCAAATTTATTAAAAAAGAAAAACTGAAATATCACATGGTCATAAGTATTCAGACCCTTTGCTGTGACACTCATATTTAACTCACATGCTGTCCATTTCTTCTGATCCTCCTTGAGATGGTTCTACTCCTTCATTGGAGTCCAGCTGTGTTTAATTAAACTGATTGGACTTGATTAGGAAAGGCACACACCTGTCTATATAAGACCTTACAGCTCACAGTGCATGTCAGAGCAAGTGAGAATCATGAGGTCGAAGGAACTGCCCAAGGAGCTCAGAGACAGAATTATGGCAAGGTGCAGATCTGGCCAAGGTTACAAAAGAATTTCTGCAGCACTCAAGGTTCCTAAGAGCACAGTGGCCTCCATAATCCTTAAATGGAAGAAGTTTGAGACGACCAGAACTCTTCCTAGACCTGGCCGTCCAGCCAAACTGAGCAATCGTGGGAGAAGAGCCTTGGTGAGAGAGGTAAAGAAGAACCCAAAGATCACTGTGGCTGAGCTCCAGAGATGCAGTAGGGAGATGGGAGAAAGTTCCACAAAGTCAACTATCACTGCAGCCCTCCACCAGTTGGGGCTTTATGGCAGAGTGGCCCGACGGAAGCCTCTCCTCAGTGCAAGACATATGAAAGCCCGCATAGAGTTTGCCAAAAAACACATGAAGGACTCCCAGACTATGAGAAATAAGATTCTCTGGTCTGATGAGACCAAGATTGAACTTTTTGGCGTTAATTCTAAGCGGTATGTGTGGAGAAAACCATGCACCGCTCATCACCTGCCCAATACAATCCCAACAGTGAAACATGGTGGTGGCAGCATCATGCTATGGGGGTGTTTTTCAGCTGCAGGGACAGAACAACTGGTTGCAATTGAAGGAAAGATGAATGCGGCCAAGTACAGAGATATCCTGGAAGAAAACCTCTTCCAGAGGGCTCTGGACCTCAGACTGGGCCGAAGGTTCACCTTCCAACAAGACAATGACCCTAAGCACACACCTAAAATAAGAAAGGAGTGGCTTCAGAACAGCTCTGTGACCATTCTTGACTGGCCCAGCCAGAGCCCTGACCTAAACTCAATTGAGCATCTCTGGAGAGACCTGAAAATGGCTGTCCACCAACGTTCACCATCCAACCTGACAGAGCTGGAGAGGATCTGCAAGGAAGAATGGCAGAGGATCCCCAAATCCAGGTGTGAAAAACTTGTTGCATCATTCCCAAGAAGACTCATGGCATTACTAGCTCAAAAGGGTGCTTCTACTCAATACTGAGCAAAGGGTCTGAATACTTATGACCATGTGATATTTCAGTTTCTTTTTTAATAAATTTGCAAAAATGTCTACATTTCTGTTTTTTTTCTGTCAAGATGGGGTGCTGAGTTTACATTGAGAAATAAAATGAACTTTTTTTATTTTAGCAAATGGCTGCAATGAAACAAAGGGTGAAAAATTTAAAGGGGTCTGAATACTTTCCGTACCCACTGTATATACTGTATATCTATATAGTATACACTGAATAGGATTTGACTCTGAAATATGGACTATATCAGTACAGCAGGGTGATATAACAAGTTGGTATTGTGTTAGCACAATTGAAGTACAGTTCAGCTCATTATTTAAGAATTTTGAAGACTAATATGAAACACAAAGTTCTCTGAAAGTTGTCTTCGGCTGTTTTCATTTTGGTGATATCTTTCCCATTACAGTATGGTTTCTGTTGTCACCTCTTTCTTGATAGCTTTTGCATTTCTCTGTCTCTGGTTTTCTTTTTTTTCTTTTTCTTTTTTTTTTGCTGCTAACGTTACAGTTCTTTTCTCATTAACTCCAAAGAAAACAGCGGTGATGCTGCAGATACAAAATGTGAGATGTAAAATGTGTCAATGGAAAAAGAGGAAATTGTGAAAACTTTCATGAACTACATGTAATTTACTGTAACTTTGACTTATCCGCCAGGAACAGAGAGTGGCAAAACAGATATTTATCGACATGTTTTCAGTCATTTTAATGCTTGTCTCGTGGACCTCTCCAGAACGGCCCATCAAATTCCTTCAAGAACTGAAAAATATTCAGGTGCAGGAGGGCAATGTGGTGAGTCTCTGCTGTGAGCTCTCCAAACCTGACACTCCCGTGCAGTGGAAGAAAGGAGACAATGTGTTGACCGGCGGAGAGAAATACCAGATGAAGCAGAACGGCTCCACACTGGAGCTCCTCATCAGGAAAAGCCAGCCTGAGGACAGTGGCACATACAGCTGTGTTTGTGAAGACATAAAAACTACTGCCACCATCATCATCACTGGTTAGAGGCGTTCTACGCTATCACTATGTAACAAAACATACTTTGGTAATTTTCACATTTTATACTGCACTTTTCCATGTCTTTCTGATGTATCACTCCTCAGCGATCCCGGTGACCTTCAAGCAGAAGCTGAAGAACCAGGAAGCTGTGGAGGAGGGCAGTGTGACGCTGCGCTGTGAGCTTTCTAAGCCAGGAGTCCCAGTGGAGTGGAGGAGAGATGCTCAACTTCTGATAGAGGGAGAAAAATATCAGATGAAGCAAGAGGGCAGGGTGGCCGAGATGCTGATTAAAAATTTAACTCTCACAGACACTGCAGAGTACTGTTGTTTTGCTGGCACTGTTGTGACCTCAGCTGACATCAAAGTAAGAGGTATGCTTCACTACACCTGACACAGATGAAAAATAACAGGGAATGACAGTGTTCATGTGCTGATTTTGTGTCTTAACCACAGTGATATAGGCTTGGTATTCCATATGACGAACACAGCAGATCTATTAAGAAATCTGCTTAATGTTGTTGTTTGTTTTTTTCTCAGAGCTCCCTGTAACATTTAAACAAGAGGTTGAGACTTTGGAAGTGAAGGAAGGGGAGAGTGGAGTTTTCTGCTGTGAGCTCTCCAAACCTGGAGCTCCAGTGGACTGGAGGAAAGGCAGAGTCATCCTCAAACCTGGATACAAATATGAGATGAAACAAGAGGGACGTCTCACAAAACTGATCATCAACAATGTGGAGGAGAGCGATGCTGGGAAATACACCTGCAAGACCAAAGACAGCCAATCAACTGCTGAGCTCAGCGTCAAGGGTAGGACAGAGATCTTACACCGAAACCATGATTAATAATTAATAATAACTCCTATGAATTAACTGGGCATTCTCAAAACATCCCCTTGCAGCTCCTCCCATCACGTTCAAGACGAAGTTAAGGAACCTGCAGGTGGAGGAGGAGAACAGCCTGACATTGAGCTGTGAGTTATCTAAGCCTGGCCTTTCTGTGGAGTGGAGGAAAGGAGAAGAGCTTCTGAAGAATAATTTCAAGTACCAGATTAAAAACCGAAACAGTGTCATGGAGCTGACCGTCAAAAACGCACAGCTGGAGGACAGTGGTGTCTACAGCTGTATCTATGGTGATGCCAAGACCGCAGCCAACGTCACCATTACATGTAAGGGAAGACTGTAAATACAAGCATGTTTGTGTATTTTTTGCATTCTTTTTAGAAATTCTGGCAATTTTGACAGAAATTTTGATTTGTGATTATGTAGATTTTAAAAGTATGTATTTGAATTTAAAAAGGAGTAAAAGTAGAACAATATTGTCTTTAAAGTAAAATAGTAAAAGATACAACCCTACCCAAGCAGTGGGAATTTTCTTGATCTCTTTTATTATTGAATTATGTATGTCTCTTATACCGGTTTTCACTGTATAAAAATTGCCTTTTGTATCTGCTCTCAAAACACAACGTGAACTTTGATTTTTCACCCCAAACTCACAGCTATTCCCCTCACCTTTAAAATGGGTCTGAAGAACCAGGAGGCCCCTGAAGGAGGCATCGTGACCCTTCGCTGTGAACTGTCCAGGGCCGGGGTGCCTGTGCAGTGGTGGAAGTCAGAGGACCAGCTCTATCATGGAGGGAGGTATCAGATGATGCTGAGAGGGAAGGTAGCAGAGATGCACATCAAAAACATCCAGCCAGAGGATGTTGGAGAGTACAGCTGTGTCTTTGGAGGGCAGAGGACAGTGGCTGAAGTGAACGTGAGAGGTATTTGACATGCTTGCGTTTTTTGTTTCTCACACCAAGCCACTGTTAACCCATGGTTCTGGTTCTGTATGACTCCTCAGGCTAAATATAAACTTTGTATTCAAACCAGTTCCACATGAGTTGTCTGACTTAATTGCATTTACTCAACATTTGCCAAACCCTGATCATAACCACTGATTAATTAGATCACATCTTGTTTCCTCAATAAGCAGATGATTCCATTGTTTCTATTATACTTGAGTTAAAATTCCACTTTTTGTAACACATTATCTCCTATCTGTCTCTCATCAGCGGCAGCAGGTGTGTTCTTTGAGAAGGAACTGGAGAACCAAGTGGTAATGGAGGGGAAACCTGTGCTGCTGTCTTGTGAAGTTACCAGTGCTAATGTCCCTGTTACTTGGAAGAAGGACAACATTGTGGTAGAAGAAGGAGGACGGTGCATTTTAAAGAAAAAAGGCCCCACGCACTCTCTGGAGATCAAGAAATTACTTCTGGAGGATGCTGGAGAGTACTGCTGTAGCACCAGAGGCAAGAAGACCACTGCCAAGCTGACTGTGAGGGGTATGTGGATACTACAGTGGAATTTCATCTATCATGTACTGATACATTTGGCTAATTCATTTACTTTCAAAGAAATGTGGCATGAAAATAACCGACAGGCCGTTCTCAGCTAAGTTCATGTACATATATCAGATTCAATCTCTAAAAAGCCAGCTGTATCTAGCTCCTTCCTCCTCCACAGAGCGCGTGCGGATTGTTACAGAGCTGCAAGACATAACGGTGACGGCGGGAGAGGACGCGGCGTTTGTGTGTGAGCTGAGCCACTCGGACGTGAGTGAAGGTGTCTGGTGGCTCGGTTCCAGCCCACTGCAAAGGAACGAGATGAACCAGATGATGTGCCAGGGTCGCCAGCACCGACTGGTCCTCACCATGACAACACCTGAGGAGACGGGCACCGTGGCATTTGTGATTGGGGATGAGAGGACCTCTGCATGTCTGCTAGTGGTCCCTAAGCCCAAAGGTGAGCAGAAACATAAGAGATATAGGGTAGAAAGATATTTGATATTAATACCAGCTTCCACAGCTTACAGTCAGTTGTTACATAATGAATGAGAAACCCAACACTTATCAAGTACAATCTTGATGCTGCATTTGTTACAAACATAGTGTATCTCCTTTATTTTATGTTATTGTTATCATAAATTGGCATGTGATTTCAAATTCCAGTTTTATTTGAGGAAAAGCCTGAAGACGTTGTGCTTACGGAGGGAGAGACGGCCACTTTGTCCTGCACAATCTCCGACTATACCTCACCAGTTACCTGGACACGCAACCATATACCCCTCTGCAATGGTGATAAATATGAGTTGCGTAAGGAGGGAAAAGTCAACCTGCTACTTATCCATGATGTGGATCCCCTGGATACTGGCATATACTCCTGTGATACAGGAGATGTGCAAAGCAGTGCCAAGCTTACTGTAACAGGTAAAAATGCAAATATTTTTGCTTTTGATGTTACATTTCTGATTAACAAGATGCAGATACTGTAAAATTTTACTTGTTACCTTCTGTCTTCCCTTGGAATGCTAATTGTTGTACCTGCTTTCTTTGAACATTGATTAGATTTGTCAAATTATACTATGAAATGTTCTTATATCACCAAATGTCTCCAACTCTTATTCCTAGAGCTCCCTCCATTCTTCCAGGAAGAATTGCAGAATACGGAAGTTGAGGAGGGAGGTTTGGCCTCTCTGTACTGTGAGCTGTCTAAACTTGGAGTGCCAATTCAATGGAAGAAGAACAGACTGCCGCTAAGAGCCAGCAGGAAATATGAGATGAAGCAGGACGGCTGCCTCCTCCAGCTGCACATCAAGGAGCTCAAACTTGAGGACAGTGGCAGCTACACATGTCAAGCAGGAAGTGCAGAGACCACTGCAACTGTGACAGTGAAAGGTGTGTGAAGTTGGATATGTGCATGGCAGGGAGTGGACTTTCTGAACTCTTTACATTTTCCAACATAGCAGTTCCCGCCTAGATGTTCCCAAATGTAACTTTATCACTGTACATTTTGGTGTCAGTACACAGCCCACATACTAGTGTCAAGTACAGTAACTTTCAATTACTTTCCTATGATTGTCTGAACCTGCCTGAAATGTAAATACTGCATGTACCCTTATGCTAAAATAGTAAGATAACAAATGACCATTCTGCCTTTTTGTGTGACAACTCAAACATAAAGATGTTTCATTTTTCTCCCGCTCAACCCTTTTTTTCCAGAGCTCCCTCCATACTTCAAGAAACAATTAAGACGCATGGAGGCTGAGGAGGGAGGTTCAGCCTCCCTCTCTTGTGAGCTGTCTAAACCTGGAGTATCAGTGCAGTGGAAGAAGAACAGACTGCCACTCAGAGAAAGCAGGAAGTATGAGATGAAGCAGGACGGCTGCTTCCTTCAGCTCGACATCAAGGAGCTCAAACCTGAGGACAGTGGCTGTTACACATGTCAGTCAGGAGGTGCAGAGACCACTGCAACTGTGACAGTGAAAGGTGTGTGAATTTGGAGATTTACATGGCAAATGTGACCGTGTCAGTAACATCTGAATCATAGAAATAGTTCTTATGATAATCTAAACTTACTGACGATCAGAATAATTTGATATTATTTGGACCAAACACTACTCATCTATCGCATAAGTAGACTATAAAAACATTAACATGATGTATACTACTTATTTGGTCACTCCAACCCTCTTATCTTTCCCAGAGCTCCCACCATTTTTCAAAGAGGAACTGCAGAATGTGAAGGAAGAAGAGGGAGGTTCAGTTTCCCTGTGCTGTGAGGTGTCCAAACCTGGGCTGTCAGTGCAATGGAAGAAGAATAAGCTGCCTCTAAGACCCAGCAGGAAATATGAGATGAAGCAGGATGCCTGCCTCCTCCAGCTGCACATCAAGGAGCTCAAACCTGAGGACAGTGGCAGCTACACATGTCAAGCAGGAAGTGCAGAGACCACTGCAACTGTGACAGTGAAAGGTGTGTGAATTTGGAAATGTGATACATTTTTGCAATGTCAGCAAATTGTTAATCTAATCTAAACTTCAAACAACAGCAAAAATCATGTGTCTATCACTGATATTTTTTTTTTTACAGCACCTTATTTAGCCTGATTTTGAGAATGTCTAAAATGCTATTTCTGTTATGCTAAAACATCCCACTCAGTTACTCCCTAAACACTTGACATTTCCCAGAGCTCCTGCCATTTTTCAAACAAGAATTGCACAATGTGGAGGCTGAGGAGGGAGGTTCAGTCTCCGTGTCCTGTGAGGTGTCTAAACCTGGGCTGTCAGTGCAATGGAAGAAGAACAGACTGCAACTGAGAGCCAGCAGGAAGTATGAGATGCAGCAGGACGGCTGCTTCCTCCAGCTCCACATCAAGGAGCTCAAACCTGAGGACAGTGGCAGCTACACATGTCAGTCAGGAACTGCAGAGACCACTGCAACGGTGACAGTGAAAGGTGTGTGAATTTGGATCATTCTGACTATATCAGAACATTTTAGTGTTACAGCTTCATGCACTTTATTGTACAAAACTTCCATGTTCTCTCTGATCTCCCTAGTAGTCATTATGTTAACCTACCTATAGGTAGTCTTAAAAAATATATAAAAAGTTATTACAAATGCTGTCCTGATGAGGTTTCAAGCATTGTTCCCTTTACATTATAGATCCATAATGTTGTTTTTCTTGCCCATTTTCCCAGAGCTCGCTCCATTCTTCAAGAAAGAATTAAGATGTGTGGAGGCTGAGGAGGGAGGTTCAGCCTCCCTGTCCTGTGAGGTGCAATGGAAGAAGAATAAGCTTCCACTGAGAGCAAACAGGAAGTATGAGATAAAACAAGATGGCTGCCTCCTCCAATTGCACATCATGGAGCTCAAACCTGAGGATAGTGGCAGCTACACATGTCAAGCAGGAAGTGCAGAGACTACTGCAACTGTGACAGTGAAAGGTGTGTGAATTTGCCAGTGAACAATGTAGTGTTTGCTCTGTATGCTTTTAACCACGTAACAAAACTGAATGTTCATTGTAAGTTGATCAAAAGTCTTTAACAATTACATCTCAGGCTTTTTATTGTCCAATTTCACTTAGGATGTATAATTTTTGAAAATATTTTCCAATCCATATCTATTTTCGCAGAAGTTGCTCCATTCTTCAACAAAGAATTACAAGGTATAGAGGGTGAGGAGGGAGCTACAGCCTCTCTGTTCTGTGAGGTGTCTAAACCTGGGGTGCCAGTTCAGTGGAAAAAGAACAGACTGCCACTGAGAGCCAGCAGGAAGTACGAAATGAAGCAAGATGGCTGCTCCCTCCAGCTGCACATTAAGGAGCTCAAACTTGAGGACAGTGGCAGCTACACTTGTCAAACAGGAAGTGCAGAGACCACTGCAACTTTGACAGTGAAAGGTGCTTTGTTGCTGTTGTGGTGTATTCACTGAAAGTTTTTAGTATTCCACCTCTTAAGCTCTTGATGATAGGAGGGTATCCTTTTTCAAAATTTAAAACTACTTAAATGTGATAGTTTGAACTGTTTGGAACACACAAAATTTTCCTGAGTAGCAAGCAAAATCAATACATGAAAACTGAATATATTTTCAGATCTTATTTGGCACTTTATCTGGCGTCTTAAATAATGTTTTTGTCTGCTTTGTACCACCTACCTAGAGCTTGCTCCATTCTTCCACAAGGAATTGCAAAATGTGGAGGCTGAGGAGGGAGGTGCAGCCTCCCTGCACTGTGAGCTGTCTAAGCCAGGAGTGTCGGTTCACTGGAGGAAGAACAAGCTGCCACTGAGAGCCAACAAGAAGTATGAAATGAAACAAGATGGCTGCTTCTTCCAGCTCTACATCAGGGAGCTTAAACCTGAGGACAGTGGGAGCTACACATGTCAAGTAGGAAGTGCAGAGACCACTGCATCTGTGACAGTGAAAGGTGTGTAAATTTGGCAATGTGCAAAGCAAACTTTACTATTTCACACACTCGAGCCACAGAAAAGTAATGTTATTGTCAGTGGCTAAGTACTGTCTTGAGTTGACTGAACTTTCTGAGACTTATTATAAGTTGTAACAAAGCAATTAAAGGACATGCAGGTAGACACATATGCTAATGTCTTGGGCACTATTTCTCTTTTGGTAAAGACATTTTCCTCCTCTTTATGACATTGTTTCACAGAGCTCCCCCCATTCTTCAAGAAGGACTTACAAAGTATGGACGCTGAGGAGGGAGGATCAGCTCCCCTGTGCTGTGAGGTGTCTAAACCTGGGCTGTCAGTGCAATGGAAGAAGAACAGACTGTTACTGAGAGCCAGCAGGAAGTATGAGATGAAACAAGATGGCTGCTTCATCCAGCTACACATTAAGGAGCTCAATCCTGAGGACAGTGGCTGCTACACATGTCAAGCAGGAAGTGCAGAGACCACTGCAACTGTGACAGTGAAAGGTGTGTGTGCGTATGGTTGTTGTGGGCGTATACATGGGAAATTTTGTTGTATTACTCTCAAATTCTCACTGATAGAGGTTATACTTTTTCAGATACTTGTATGATTGTATGAACTCACTGTATTTTCCATTGTAGCACACTCTACCTATTAGGCACATACAGTATGTAAGCTAAATCAGTGTCTCAAATAATGTTTTTGCTGTGTTCTGCCCCACCTACCTAGAGCTCATTCCATTCTTCAAGAAAGAACTAAAAAATGTGGAGGCTGAGGAGGGAGAGGCAGCCTCCCTGTCCTGTGAGCTGTCTAAGCCTGGAGTGTCAGTGCAATGGAAGAAGAATAAGCTTCCACTGAGAGCAAACAGGAAGTATGAGATAAAACAAGATGGCTGCCTCCACCAGCTGCACATCAAGGAGCTCAAATCTGAGGATAGTGGCAGCTACACATGTCAAGTAGGAAGTGCAGAGACCTTTGCAATGGTGGCAGTGAAAGGTGGGTGAATCTTGATACCTGAGTTACAGTTACAGTTAAAGAAACACACGTTTATTCATTTTCTTTTTCTTCAACTTCCACCACACATAAATAAGTTGTCAACATTTTTTTCTCATTCTTTTGCCTAGCACTACAATCTGCTCCACCAAACACAGAGCCTCCCACAATATTACCTCGGGTAAAGGGTGCTGTCTCTAAAACAACTCCTAGTCCCGAGAGTGAGGAGCCTGGCCTCCCAGAGGCCAAACCTGTTCCTCCAGAGCCCAAAAAGAGATCTCATAGGAAAGCATCTATTACAAATTCAGAAAAAGATGAGGAGCCAGTATTGCACCTAAAGCAGTCTGTGCTGAAGGAAAATAATAAAGACCAAAAAGGAACCCAACCTGTAAAGCCTATGGAGAAAGACTTTGATGTTGTACAGAACATAACACAACTGGAGAGTGAGGGCTACAAGAAAGCCGATAACTCAGTGAGATTACTAGAGCAGGATGACAGGATTGACAGGAAGGTCAAAGAGCCAGGGAGGTCTATGGAAACAGAAAATGAAGTTTTCCTGGAGAAGCAACAAGGAAGGAATTTGGAGGAAATGGTTAAAGCTGACCTTAAAGTAAGTCAATCAGAGAGGGTTCTGGGTGACACTGTGGCTGAACAACAGAGATTAAAACAAGCAGGAAAGCCCTCAGAGAAAACAAGTGAAATTCAGGAGAAGGTGAAACATCCTGGGACGCTTCTGCGGAAGAACAGTGAGGATGAAAAATGGCCTGTTGAAGCACTAGAAAAGTCAAGTGGAAAAGAAACAATAAAGGAACATGTAAAGTCTACAGTAAAGGAAGGTGCAGCAGGCATGATGGAAGAGGAACCTTTAAAACCACCAGTAAGATCTAAAGGAAAGACAATGGAGGGGAAGCAACCAATAAAGCATATTTTAAGAGAACCTGAGGAGTTAATTACCCAAGCATTAAAGACTACAGTAAATGGCTCTGAGGAAGACCATAAACAGAGAGACTATGTGAGACAACAAGTGTCCACAGAGGCAGAGAGGGGGAAAAAGCCACTCAAGCAAGTGCTGTCAGTAGAGCAACCAGAAAAACCTTCAGAAAGAGAGGCAGAATTTACCCCTCCAAAACCACCTGTGAGGATAAAAGGTAAAACAAAAGGGGGAATGGAAAAACAATTATCACGGGATACAGAAACAGATCAAGAAGGACAAGAGCTGACAGGAGGTGTGGTGAAAACAACGGATGATCAGCCAGTAAAACAGTCAATAAGGTCTGTGGGAAAAGAGGATAAAGAGAAACCCAGACTTGAGAGGAAACATTCAGTAACAACAGACAGTGAGATAGCTGAGAAAATAAGGCAGCCTGTGAAAGCTGCAGAGAAAGATGCAAACACCAAACAGCTGATCAAACAACCAGTAAAACCCATGAGAAAAGAACCTGAAGTTGACCAGGAAATTAAACTGGCAGTTGAGCCAATGAGAAGGAAGGAAGAAAAACAGACGAAGATGACAGAAGATGTTCCCCTTCTGTATATTTCTGAAGACGAAACTTTCTCAGAGGCTTTGACGGAAATACCAGGGAAGGTCCACCCAACTGGCTCTTGTAATGAGGGGTCAACTCAACCCTCTGGTCTTCCACCAGAGATTGACATCAGCATTGAGGATGAACCACAAATGCAAGAGGCAGCAGTCAAGATCCAGGCTGCCTTTAAAGGCTACAAAACCCGCAAAGACATGCGACCTGTCTTTAAAGAGGTTTTTAAGAACCAGAGTGCAGATCTTCATGGTACAATTACTCTAGTGTGTGTTGTAGAAGGAAAACCCAGCACAGTGCGCTGGCTGAAAAACGGCCAACAAATCACTAATGACCAGCGCTGCCGTACTGAGACTACAGAGAAGGGCGTGTGCACACTGGTGATCAAAAACCTTACCACCAGTGACGGTGGAATCTATACCTGTGAGGTGGTGAATAAGTTTGGTGTGACCTCCTACAATGGAAACGTAACGGTAGTACAGCCTCAGCAGGCTGCTCCGACAGCCCAGAAGCCTGTGCACCCACCCCTTGCAGCCATAACTCCTCTGCAACTTGCCCCACCAAGGCCTGAGGTCCAGGCCAAAACACAGACTCTGAATCTTCCTCAGACTCAAGCACAGATACCCACTTCAGCTACAGATGCTGCAAACTATGTAGAAAGTGTGAGTGTCTCTCTGTGGGAGGCCTACAACCTGACGGAGCTGACTGCACAGATGACTCTGGAAGAGAGGAGACGATCATCACTCATTGCTGCCAGCTCCAGTGAGTAACTCGCTTATATACCGGGTGTGATGACAAAACATATGGATTTGCTTGGTCATATATTTACAGTATAGTGCATATGATTTTGTGCTTTCAACAGTGTCAAGTCCCTCTGATTATGACACGGCTCTGGATATAATGGAACCTGTTGAAACTGTTCCTGCTGTTTCAAGGTCAGAGTGCAGAAGAAAAGATTTGTTTATCTGAATTTCAGTGCAAAATTGGTCTTTTGTTCTCATGAAAATACCCAAAATATATTTTTATATTGTCACAGGGAAGTACCAAAACCACAAGATCAAGTATCTGCGAAGGACAATAAAGAAGAGATAGCTGCTCCACAACCTCCTAAGAAACTATTAAAGGTCAAAGGTAAGCTATGTTGATTTTGTTCATTGTTGTTTTTCACCTTTCCATTACTAGTTCTCTACTTTCCTGTCAGGTAATACCAGAGCTTTCTTCCTCTATAATCTGTAGGAGCTCATGAAGGCAGAATGAGGACACCATCTCCAAAGCACCATCGTGCCCACACACCCTTAGCAAGTACGGTATCTGGATCAGAGTCAGAGGGGGAAGAGGATAGCAGAGAGGTACTTTTTGCGTATTTTGCTCTAGCATGGATGTATTTATGGACTTATTCTATCTGCTCTATAAATATTAATGTAACAAATGTGATTCAATAAAGTCAAAATCTGACAAAGTAATATTACACATTTAATTTTTTAAGCCGTAAATTATGTAATTTTTGTCCCCCTCAGACATTTGAAATGTATGTGGCTCGAGCTGACTGCAGTCCTAACAGTGGAAATAAGAACAGTTTCATCCTGAAGGAGGGCCAGTTTGTAGAGGTCCTGGATTCTGTTCATCCTGACAGATGGCTGGTGAGGACCAAACCCACCAAAACCAACCCTGCTCGACAGGGATGGGTGTGTCCAGCCTACCTGGAAAAGAAGAGAAAGGTAGGATGTATAGATCCGGATGTTTTTTCTCCAATGCTGAATAAACATGTTACATTAACCATTTAGGTTTGCTTAAGATAAGACTTAAGATAATAAATACATGACTGTTGTTTCGAACAGGAAACCTTCCCACAAATGAGAGCACCTCAAGAGGATCTTGATGGAATAGGGTCTACAGGAGAAGAATATCGGAGAGCTATGAGGTCTGTTATTCTGCAATTATATGTTGACATAAAAAAAAAAAATTGGGAGGAACGTCACCAGACAGTTTATTTTTTATTAGGATTTAGGATTAGATTTAGAATTTTATTGAAATTTTATTGAAATGCATTATGATTGGTTACATGTATTTGGACAATTACATTTGGATATTTTATGATAATGGAGACTGAATTTGTTCTAATTGCAAATTTCAGAGGAAAACTGCAAAAAACTAATACTGCTGAGCCATGTCCAGTCTGAATGAAAGTCCTTCTTTCTTTAGCCAACTGATCCAAGGCCTGATTGACGGAGAGGAGGAGTTTGTAAAGGAGATGAAGATGTTCACCTCTCACCAGCTAAATTATCTGGACTCTAGTTGCCACGTCCCCATTAACATCCTCAACCAGAGAGAGATCATTTTCAGGAATATCAAGGACATTGTCTTTCTGCATGAGAGGTAACACACACACACACACACACACACACACACACACACACACACACACACACACACACACAGAAATGTATTGCACTTCTACTATATTGTATGTAATTCATTCTATTTTTTTCTCAATCGTTACTTCTTGATTTTGATGTTTTCAGTGTCAAGCATTGTCTTTTTTAAATTTTTTTTCCTGACACTGCCTCTCACTTCTCTCACTCCAGGTGCGTCCTTCCTGGTCTGAGAGGCTGTGCCACAGACGATGATGTGGCCATGCATCTGATCAAGCACACTGAGGACTTTGAAAAGTATCTTCACTACATGGTGGGACAAGCTCAAGCTGAAGCCTGCGTCACCGACAAGGCTACCCAGCAATATTTCAAAGTATTGACAAAATCTGTTTGGATTTAAACATAAACCTTTAACATGAATATTGTGGAAACTAAGGTGCTGAGTAGCAGCATTGTTGCACGTATCTAATGTTCTTTATTTCTTTAATATGTTGCTCATTACACTTCAGGAGTTAGCAGAATCTGGTAAGCCTGACGCACCTGTCATGGATGTCCTTACCTTCCTCCAGCGACCAGTGGAGAGGATTCAAACCTACCAGGCTTTACTCAAGGTCAGCATACAGTTTCATTTACAAATTTGTGTAGAATTCCACAGACTAAACTTTTTTGACAAAATTTTGTTTGATTCTTTATTGTGCCCCTCACAATCAAACAGGAATATTGTAGAGAACCAGGAATATTTGTATCTTGGATATTTATTTCAACTAAACATATTTAACGAGCTCCGCTTGTTCTGCTGTTGCACACGTGGCAGTGTCTTCTTGAAAATTTGTCACCTGATTGCCTGGGATGTAAATGAAAAACATTTTTTTGGCAGGAGTTTATCAAGAACAAAGCCAAAGGTGGTCAGAGCTGCTGTCTGTTAGAGGATGCCTTCTCTACGGTGTCCTGTCTGCCCTGGAGGTCTGACAACCTGCATCAAGTGTCCCTCATCGAGAACTACCCAGCTCCTCTAACTGCCCTGGGCGAGCCTGTGCGACAGGTACCTACAGACGACTGACATGTTTTCATTATAAACTCCGAGTTAGGCTGACATATGGTCATCGTATGGTCTTCACTTGCCTTCTTCCCTCCAGGGAGTCTTCACAGTGTGGGAGGAATCTCCAGAAATTAAGACGGCCTCTAGAGGGCATCAGAGACAAGTCTTTCTCTTCAAGGAATGTATCGTACTGTGTAAACTGAAAAGGGACACTCGCATGAACAGTGACACCTACACCTTCAAGAACAAAATGAAGGTAGCATCTATGCTCCTGTTTTCCTACTAAATCTACTTGTGTTTGTGGGGCAATACAAAAAAGAAACTGTTTAATATCATAGCTTTTCACACTCCATAATGATTACTGTAGCACAGTTTACTCTGATTTCTTTTTCCACATTTTGACCTCACCATCCTTCTCACTTGTCTCTGTCATCTTTGCTTTTGTTATCTGCTCAGCTGAATGATGTGGAAATAAAGGAGACTGTGGGTGGAGATGAAAAGTCTTGGGGGTTGTGGCATGAGCACAGGGGCTCAATGCGTAGGTACACACTGCAGGGCCGCTCCACGCTGGTTAAACTGCCCTGGCTCAAAGACCTGAAGGAGCTCCAGCAACGCTCCAGTCTGCCCACTAACAGTAAGTCAAAGTGAACACCAGGTGAAGTTTGACATTGAATTATAAGAAATAAACAAATATTTTCCTATTTATTTTAAATTTATGTTTTTATCTTAAAATGACAATGGCAGCAACAGGATGACATTAACTGAACATTGTCACAGACGGTCACAAAACTTTTGTGGCATAATATGGCAAATATTTTCACCAAATGCTTTGTGTGTAATTTCTGTATTTGTGTGTGCGTCAACAGGCCCACCAGTGTTTGAGTCACTGTTGTCTGACTGCACAACAAAGATAGGGCAGACAATTAAACTGACATGCAAGGTCACAGGATCACCCAAACCAGTGGTCAGCTGGCTCAAAGGTCTGGAAATGCTTTCTAAAATATAAATAATAAAATAGTCATGTAAATTCTTTACTTTTAATGTATCAGAGTAGGTTTTGCTGAGCATGTGTAGCAAAAAACAGCAAGTCATGGTTTCACAGTTAAAATATCTGATGTCTGCTTCTCAGATGGCCTTCCTCTGGAGGATGACCCCCGTCACATCATCACAGCGGACCGGTCTGGAACCTGCAGTGTCATCCTGGACAATCTCACTGCAGAGGACTCTGGACAGTATACATGTTACGCTACCAGCTCCATGGGCACTGCTGGTACTCTGGCTAAGGTTGTGGTGCAGGGTGAGTCTGTGGATGAGCCTGGGTCACTTCAGTAGTTCGTTACCATACAGCGATATGTGTGTTTGTAGATGAATGCCTTACATGCAACACCTACACTGTCACAAAGGAACACAGGACAGATGACGGACCTCATATTTTTTTTCATCATATTAGCATATCTACAACTACAAGCACAAATACTGCCACTACTTCTACTACTGCTCTTACTTCTATATTATTACTAGTACTACTACTATTAATAGTAGAGTTACAATGACCTCTACAACTACTAGAGCTAGTAATAATTCTACTACTTGTACAACTGCTATTATGCAACTCTTGCTACTACTGGTGCCATTGTAATTACAATTGTCACACTTACTACTATTGTTATTATTACTACTATAATTGCTACTGTAGTTTCTAAAACTTGTCTTACTACTGCTGTATTTACTACTAATAATATTACTGTGAATACATTCACTGCTGCAGGCTGATTTACTGGTCACTTCTATTGCTAATTCCTCTGCTACTACTATTGCTGCTTTGACTGCTGATCCTTCTAATATTGTCATTACCCCACTACTAAAACTGCCATTATTGGCCTGTTTCTAATTATAGGGACACAGGTGACAATTTAATGTATTTTTTCTTCTCTCTAGCTCCACCCAGATTTGTGAGTCGGCTGGAGAGTGCTTGTCTAATAGAAGGAGAGGACATCCAGTTCTCTTGTTCCACACTCAGTACTCCTTTACCACGAATCAGGTATGGCGAGAAAAAAAGCAAAGATGACTGTGACCGCAGTGGTTGTGAGGTGAATACGTCAAACACATCCATCTTTGGGTTTGGCAGGTGGTTGAAAGATGGCAGAGAGTTGACTGACCAGCAAAAATACTCGATCCTGAATGATGCTCGGAGTGGAATCTTGTGTCTGACGGTCATCTGCGCAACAGCGGCAGATATTGGACAGTATGAGTGTGAGGTATAAAACCCACATACATAAAACCTTCAATGTATTAAGATGATTGGCATTATTAATGTCAGAGATCTTCTTTTAAGATGCAGTATATCAAATGTTTTGTTTTGCTTAGCTTTGGAATGAGTTTGGCTGTGTCAAGTGCAAAGCAGGTCTATGCCCCACTTACATACCACCGACTGACATCGAGGATGACCAACCAAAGGATTTACCCCCTAAAGGTAGGACTGGCAAAGTTGCTGAAGGTAAATATCCTCCACATATGATGGAAACTAGTGGCAGGGTTTTCATGCGGCTGATCGACACGTTCACTAGTTCAGCCGTGTTTGAGAAGGGATGAAGCACATGCCATTGTCCAGTTTCACTTCAGATCCTGTCACCCTCTCTGCATCACGTCATGTGACATCTCTTCACTTTACAACAAACTGCAACAATCTGCATCAATTTCCACTTTCAACCACTACCATTCATCCATTCGATTCAAGTTCACACCATTTTGAGATTTTACTCACATTTTCCTTTTTCCCATTTCACAGACACTCACATCATAAGTAGTTCAAACTACCATACCACTTGTCACTAGATCCCCTGGGGTTACGGCATGGAGTGCAGCCTGTAGATGAATGCCTAAAATATGAAACGGAAAGAATAAGTAGTTTCTGTCTGCATGGCACGGCAAATTTGAATTTACAACTATTAACTGCATTATACAGTGGTATGCCTGAGATAAAACTACACTGTCATTTTTCATTTCTCCATTTCTACTGCTGCCATTTGAGTTAAGTGCATCATGCATGCTATAGGTGAAAGGACACTCTCTCTCTCTCTCTCTCTCTCTCTCTCTCTCTCTCTCTCTCTCTCTCTGTCTCTCTCTCTCTCTGAATGCCGTGAGAGTGGTTCATCTCTCTCTCACACTACTACAGTGACCTTAGCTACACTAAACACATACTTAAACATAACCATCTCTTACCTAATACCTACACATAGCCAATGCTAACTTCTGCCCTTTGATCCTTAATCTGTGTCACTAGTCACTCCATCTCTTCTACTAACTAGTGTTGAGTCTGAGGCACTTTAACCCCTGCCTCTGGAAAAAAAAAAAAAAACTCGTAAGTATAACTACTTCTATGTCAAAAGAAGCTTTTATTTGCCATAACCCAGTGGGATCTAGTGGGTATCATTCAACATAGGCACCATACTTTATTTCCCAGCATTCCTCTCACTCATGTAAACACAATGATACATTTATTGTATGGAATGATTTTGTGTTTTTCATCATGTCTCCACTTTCCACACAGGGCATGGATTGAAACAGACTCGATCATTTTCCCCCCATTAGACTCATGTTATCATCCAAAAGTCAGCCCAGCCACCGAGGTGCCATAACTAACAGCAGTAATTTAAATATAGTGTGTAGTATTACTGTCCTATATTATGTAGCGATTTTCAAACTGTGCTAGTATCTATGAATTTACTGTTACTGTTACTATCACACAGGGTCAGAAATACAACTAGTATAATGGAGTAAATAATAGAATTCAGCCAAATTCAATGGACTTATTAGAGTGGATGAAAAACCTGCTGTAAGTTTGACATATGATATACTTTATATTGACTATAAAGTTGTCTTACTCACATATTTTTTTTCTGGCTTTTGGACACTGGTTCACGGTGTTTTCCCTTCCATTGTCCATATCCTACACGTTTCTCCATCTTCCTTCTACTAGTAGTAAAGGAGGAAGTTCCTCACATGGACCGTTCCATGTAAGTCATCATTGTCATGATAACAAATAACCACTCAACAGTCCCCTTTTTCCTCTTGCCAACGCATGCCCAGCTAACTCTTCACTCCTACGAACACAAGATGGTCATGTGCTGGGCGGGTGCTCCCTTTGCGCCCATGCAGGAGTGGGCATGCACCCATGTCCTGTTGATGTGGTGGGTTAGTGGGGTAAAACCCTCAAGTCCTGAGGTAAGAAATGCAGTATTACTGCTGGTGGTACTTAAGGTAATGTACTTTTTTTCACTTTTCACTCTCCAATGTTGCAGTACATATAAATTACATTCAAGGCAAAGTGATAATTCCTTTAAATATAGTTAGAAAATATATTGTTATATTAAGTCTGTGATCCTTAAACTCCGGCTGAGTGGCAGTTTGGCTTTGGTAGATGCAGACTCAGAGGGCTGGTCCACTGCCTTTGTGAAGAAATGGTTACAGACTGATTTCAGCCCCACCTCTATTGCCAAGGTGCTTTTCCCTCCTGGACACCCTGAACAGTAAGTTAAGTCTCACTTATATATATTGACCTTACTTTCCCGCCTTGAAATTAGTACTGGATGTAAAAAGTAAGTGGAGTAAATTGAAGTGGTTTTGTTAATAATTGAAATGTTACCATACATCGTTATGACTGATAAATAGAATTTGATAATTACCTTTTCCCGTTTGTCCTCTCTTTGTGTCCAGAGCAGAGTGTAGCACTGAGGAGACAGCTCCTGCTGCCACATCCATGGATCAGGTGGTTCAGCAGCCGCTGTATTACCTGGAGGAAGAGGAGGAGGAGATTTACATCTCAGAACCAATGCAGGAAATTACAGATGGTATTCTTGTCATAAGAGTATACATAAGAATATGACTGCTATCAAATTTGGTATGCTCACTAAGTGATCTAATTTCCTGTTCAGCTCCACCCTCCATCCAGGTACCCACTGAGGACCTGTGTGTAGAGCCCGGCCAACCAGCTACATTTACAGCCATCATCACAGGACGACCGACTCCTAAGATACAGTGGTACAAGGTAGGGGCAGTGTAGATCAGTGATTTCCAAATCGGATTGATTGCAAGGGTTTGCAAATATGCAATTTATGGGATGGGAAAAATCATATTCCTATAATACCAGATGTTATTGCTTCTCTGTCTCCCATGAGAAAGGAAGCAGATCTTTTTATGGTTACATTTCCACTCTTCCCACTCACAATGTGACAGGTTGCAGGAGGTCATCACGTTGTTTTAAGAGATTACAGTGCAAAACGTTAGACCAAAGTTTACTGATAAAAGAGACAATCCCTATTAAGAAAAACTTCACTCTTCTGTTGTGATTGGAGGATGAAGAAGAGCTTGCAGCCAATGAGAATGTGGAGATAGTACAGCTTGGTGCCCGCTGCTCAGTGACCATAGTGTGCTCCGAGGGTGAGGACAGCGGCATATACACCTGCTTAGCCTACAATGACTCCGGCCATGCCTCATGCCAGGCTCAGCTCACGGTGGAGGAAGGTGAGATCACAGCATTCACTGTTAAATATGACTGTTTTTGTTTTAGGCATAGATGAATTCGATTTTATTATTATTAGATTTAATTTTGTTAGTCTGTGTGGTTTCTCTATAGGCCCACTGGAGTGTCAGGAGAGAGAGGTGGAGCTGGGGAAGAGAAGGAAGTTATTCTCTGTCTATGATGTTCATGAGGAAATTGGAAGGTGAACCTCTAGATTATACTGACATAGTCCAAGCTGTTCAAGATCTCTGCTAAGGTTTGACATGCGTTTCTTGTTTTAGGGGAACGTTTGGGGTAGTGAAGCGTGTCGTCCACAGAAGGACAGGTGAAGTCTTTTCTGCCAAGTTCCTTCCTCTGCGGAGCAGCACTCGGACGAGGGCCTTCCAGGAGAGAGACTTACTCTCCCGTCTGGCTCATCCCAGAGTGGCCTGTCTGCTGGACTTCTTTTGCACCAGACGCACTCTGGTGCTGATCACAGAAATGTATCCTCCCTGTTAAATATTACAATGTGATCACTCCTTTTTCCTTGCAGTGTGTTTAGCTTAAGTTTGATTTGTATTTGGTTTTAAGAGTTCTTTAACACCATTTCTAGCTGCTGCTCTCATGGACTTCTGGATCATTTATTACTCAGAGGATCCGTCTCAGAGAGAGAGGTACAAGCTTGAGATATTTTTTTCTTGCAAATATTATGTATGGCTCTTGACTAATATTCTACATTTTATTTCAGGTTCAGTCATACATCCAGCAAATCCTTGAAGGTGTTGGTCACATTCACAGCATGAACATCTTGCATCTGGACATTAAAGTGAGATTCCCAGTCCCCAGTCAACACTGCATTATTGACTGTGGCCTTATTTTTGATGCGGTTCTTAATTCTCCATTTTTATTTACACTTCCTTCAGCCGGATAATATCCTAATGGTGTATCCACCCAGAGATGAGATAAAGATCTGTGACTTCGGCTTTTGCCAAGAAATAGACGCATCCAGACACCAGTACAGCATGTTTGGTACACCAGAGTTCGTTGCACCCGAGATTGTTCACCAAGAACCAGTCACTGTTGCCACTGATATTTGGTGAGTCACCTGGTCAATTAAAACTTGAATCAAATAGATGCAAGTGTGTGTTTTTATTATGTGTTATCTGATGTTGCTGTAGAACTGCCACTCTGGTATAACTAGCAGATTTAAATAAAAGCTAAAAATGATTTGCACCGTTGTAAATTAGAGAGCAAAATTAGACCATATTACAATAATATCTTTCATTCTCTCTGTCAGGGCTGTGGGTGTTATAGCCTATCTATGGTACGTATCACTGCATTTTTGATAATTCAAAATTCAAAACATTTAAAATTCAAATTCTTAAATACACAATATATCAATAAGCTGGGCAGTTGACCCACGAGTTTCTGTTAGCTGTTAACATCAGGTTTTAACTTTATCTTGACAGTCTGGTGTGTCGATGTCCTTTTGTGGGCGAGACGGACCGGGCAACACTGCTGAGAGTGGGGGAGGGGACCCTGAACTGGGACGCCCCTGATGTCACATACAGGAGTCCTGAGGCACAGAACTTTCTCCACCTGGTCCTTCAGCCAGATCCAGAGTAGGAGACCTGTTTCATTATTGCTGAGACCACCACTTATCAATCAAGTCACACATCAAATAATAATATGAATCAAAGATATATTCTAGTAAAGTTTGTGCAAATGACAAAGAAATCCCATTTCATGTGACAAATCAGCATAAAGGAACAACAGTGATGTTAATGCCAATTCTGATTCCTCAAATCAAACATATCACAAAAATGCAAAACAAAATTTAAAAAAAAAATCAGTTTTCCTGTTAAAGCTGCATTTAGCTTATGCTGAACCCTCACTGATCAAAGTGAGACCTTGTAGGGCTCAACCAAAAAACTGGCAAAAAAATAAAACAATGAATTAAAAAGTGTCTGAATGCTGCATAAAACTACATTAACTTGGCTGATGTTTCTCTGTGCCTATGCTAGTACCTATTTCACATGAAAGACAGTCATTTGATTCAATGTGGATATCAAACATATTTTTGCTGAACTCCAGTGTTTAGTTCTTAGACCCTAACAACACTGTTAGGTGTGGTTTCAGGTGCAACGTAGCACATATATCTGAGCACTTCCAATTTTCCTTTACGTAGGATGCGACCGTCTGCCTTTGAGTGCTTGAGCCATGAATGGTTCCAGGTGAGAGGAAACAGTACACAATAGGTCTTTTAATCAAGCTTTATTGTATTAAAAAACATACTACAAATGCAACTAAACACTCAAATCTTTGTAACTGTGTCCAGGACAAACATACAGGAGAAGATACTGATGAAATCAACATGAGAAGTTTGAAAGTCTTTATCTCAAAAATGAAATGGCAGGTGAGTTGTCTCTCTTGTATCATTTATCATTTCTTGTAATGTTGATAATCTTGAAGTTTAATATGATTACATCAGATTATATAGTTTACCTAAGATTATGTCTTAAGCATTACCATTATCATTACCGTTGTATCTTCTCAGCGTTCGTTGACTTGCATTGGGTCAGTTCTCACATTGAGGCCTGTCCCTGAGCTGCTGGACGCTCCTCTCAGAGAGACTGCTGTGACGGTGCCTCGTGAGCTCCAGGAACACAGCAGCACCTCTCTGAGCAGTGGCTCATCATCTGAGTATGATGAAGCTGACGCTTTGGACTTTTTCCGGCACTACAGTCCGACTGAGGAGGAGGAGGAGGAAACAGAGGAGGATTATGATCCTTTAATGGAGAGAGCACAGATCCCCGAGCCTTTTGCCAAACTCCACCAAGATGGAGAGGAAGAGGAGGAAGTGACATTAGGGGAGGAAGAGGATGGGGAGATGGTAGGAAGGACGAGTGTATTAGAGCGGAGTATGAGCAGGCAGTCAGTTGCGTCATCAGACGTGTCGTGCCAACAGACACCTCAGAGGGAGCGTAGGTTGAGCAAAGACAGCAGTCAATCTCTCTACCTCTCTGACTGGGATGAGGGTTCAGGAAGTGACGGAGGTCGTATCCCTCGGGGCAGCGTCATCCGAAGCACTTTCTACAGCACCTCTCATCAGCTTTCACCCATGTCTGCCAGACACATGTCATTACGGGACAAATTCCAGGCCAAAAAACAGGAGAGAGGTCGCAAACCACTGAGGAGGAGCTTTTCAGGACGCCTCAATGAACCTCTTATTGAATATGTGGAGGATGAGACAGAAACTAATCGAGGCCAAAGACGGGGATCTATTCAGCCCACGATGCAGAAATCCTGCTCCTTTGACAGTGGAGTTGGCCTCATCCATGGCAACGTACCCCCTCACAGGAGGAGCAGGTCTCTTGATGAGTATTCGCGCCGGTCTCCCAGCTCACCCAAGCGCACAATGCCGGGGGAAGAAGAAGGCTCTCAAAGTCTGAAGGAAGATTTCACAGATGATGAAGTGGCTGGGAGAAACTTGTTGGCCATCCCGGGCCCACGACGACCTGCAAGAAGACGTGGCTCCATCACTCCTGTACATGCGACTCGCACACTGGGCGGAACAACTGTTCCCACAGACTTCCTTGCTGGAGACAGAACGGGCACCAGGTTGATTCAGGACCAGACAGAGAGCGATACTTTTGCTGGCTCCCAGGGGTCCCTGGCTGAGTCATCTATTTTGGAGCACGGTGGCTCAGAGTCTTCAAGCAGAATCGGCTCCTGCGAGGAGCTGAGTCATGGTCATCTCAGAGGAAGATACAGATCAGGAGAGAGTGAAGGGTATGATGACCAGGGGGAGCCTCTGATTTCATCATCTCCCTGCTCATTCCAAGAAGTCAAACCCAGAGGCTCGTTTCCTCAGGCCCCACCGCGAAACCGCACCCGCTCCAACCCAAACTTATCTGCAAACAGCAGAGGTCAGCAAGGGCCCCTGTTGATGCCGAGCCCCAGTCCCAGCCTCTCTTCTCTCCAGGCTCCAGAGAGGCCTCCCAGGGCCAGGGACAAGAAGGAAGGCTACGGCCTGCAGAGGCATGCATCTGCTCCAGCCCTGGAAGCCCGACCACCCACAGGAAAGTCACCCAAGCTGGGACTGCTCAAGATCTTCCGCAGGCAGTCCTGGACTGGCCATTCGTACTCTCAGCTGGAGGACACAGAATTAGGACCCACATTAGGAGAGATCATGACGCCCGATACACCCACCATGTCTTTGAGGAAGAAAATGAGAGCTTCAGCTTCTAGCCTGACCAAGCTGTTTTCCAGATCTAAGGAGGATGTGAGTAAAGGAGGTGAGTTATTGCACTCTATATATTGTACATTAACATCGTACTGTACATTTTATCCAACCTGATTTTTTTTTTTATTTGTCCATTATAACAGGGCCAATAGTAAAAGGATCACCTCCCATCCCACCTGAAAGGGAGCGTAGTGCTGGTCTTGAGAGTCCAAAAAAGAAGACCTCCAAAATCCTTCCTTCTTTCAAAATACCTGCATTCAAAAAGACAAAAGGTAGTGAATAAGCTACATTCTGTGGATCAAATATTTGCTGTCTGAAATAGCTATGCTGTCATCATTTTTGCTATAAGCCTGCTTGTCCATTATTTCCATATCTGCCAGTCCGTCCCAACAAGCCTGAAGTTCTGCAGTTAGATGGAGGCAGAGTCCTGCTGGTTTGGAAACCGATCCAGTCAAGTGACCCTCTCACCTACTGTGTGCAGTTCTGTTCAGATGGTGAGTTTACAGAGACTGTACAGCAGCACATTAATAGTTTGTGTTAAAAGGAAACCAAATAGTTGTTTGTGTTCGACAAATAGTTCCAGTTAATAAAATATAAAATGTAATCTATTTGTATATATGGTCAAAATATTTCATAATGAAAATCCATGCATTTAAACAAGCATTTCATCATGTGCAGAACATGGTGTTTGGAATGACTATTAGATATTTTTCAGTCACCATCATCTTTAGATTATTTCAATTTCATGTAGCTGACAACCAGTTAAAGTTCACACTGTGACTGTTTTGACTTTGAGTACTTGTCTTCATGTTAATCTTAAAGTTCCATTAAGTTAAAAATTATATTTCCTATAGTACAAAATCACTAATATCAGTGCAGTAAATCCCATGTATCGTGTGTTCCTGCAGGTGGGGCGTGGACAGTCCTGTCAGACAATGTGACAGACAGCTGCTATGTGGTGAAGGACTTAGTGAGAGGAGCGTCTTATGTGTTCAGGGTGGGCTGCATCACCAAGACAGGAGCAGGACCTTTCAGTGACGCTTCAGCACCTGTTGTTATGGCTACTCATCCCGAAGGTGAGAAAAATACTCTCAGGCACGATGTTGTATTTTCGCTGTTGCATGTGTGGTTTCAATCATTCATTCATTTTTCACATATTTAGTATTTGTGATCATTAGGACTTTGCTTCACAGAGTATTTACAGCAATGAGAGTTTATATGTTCATCAGCCACTTACATGGAGGGCTTTAACATTTTCACCTCTATTTGCTTTGTTGTACAGAGACTCACATTTCTCTAACCCTGACTGAGACCCTGGGGTCAAAGGTCACTGGATCAGAACAACAAACAACACAAAGGAACTACAGCTTCCTCTCTGAGATTAACAGGTGGGATTTTTAATTAAATCCAAGGGAGGAGCTTTAACGTCCCTTTTCTTCATAATGACCTAAATGTAGTGTAAATACTTTATTTTTACTATAGTGTTTATTTCCGTTTGATGGCACATGATGATATTTTTCTTCCTTTAGCTTTCATTTTGAAATTTAGGTGTAACTTTTCCAGTTTCTTAAGTCTGAAACAAACTGATATTTCTGATTTAAACCTGTTTTTTTTTTTTAAAGCTGATATTCAGTATCTTTATTTTTCTCCACTTTTATGACAAAATTGAAGTATCTGTGTTTTCCAACAGACTTTAATTCTTGGTATGGCATAAAAATCACTTCAGTTGTATGTACCAATGGTACTCAAAATGATACTGCTTATTTAGGGTCACAAGTGACTGGGACCAGTTCCACCATGCATTAGGTTCAGAGCAGTCTTGTCTTTTATCTCCCTTTATCTCACCAGTTTGCCACACAGCCTTTCTCTGTTCGTCTCCATCTTTTGCTCTTTTCTCTGTCAGGGGTCGTTTCAGTGTAATAACCCTGTGTAGAGATGTTGAAACGAGCAAAGTGTTTGCAGCCAAGATCACCCCTTACCAGGCAGAGCAGAGACAGCTGGTGCTTAGGGAGTACCAGCTGCTGAAGAGGCTTCATCACCCACACCTGGTGCAGCTGCACACTGCCTACCTCACCTCCTACTACCTGGTGTTAGTGGAGGAGCTTTGTCCCGGCAAGGAGCTGCTCTACAGTCTGGCTGCGAGGTAAAAGAGGGCTCACAAACAGAAAACTCCATCCTTGCTTTGACTATTTACTACTTGGTGGGTTGGTCTATCTCACACTTTATTCCAGAGCATGCCATATTGCCAAAAAAGGCAGTCTAGATGTTCATGGTTTTGTGAGCATGGTTTCTTAATGACTGTAATGAGCCCCAGTCCTCTGGTCTAGTGGATATACATCAGATCACAATTCCACTATTTCATCAAGGAAGTTCATTCAGTCCATTGCAGTGAAAAAAGCCTCCTCCTTGTCTTGTCCTGAGGAGCCTGTTAGAGGAATACTCCATGCAAGACTGATTACAACATGATTCCAAAATAGGAGACCTCACTGAGACAGTTTTCATGAGCAATGCTGATCAAATTAGGGCTTTTTCAGACCTATGTCTAAAATGTCTTATGTTTATGCAACCTGTAGCCATTTGTAGCAACCCATCACATACTGTAACTAAGCTGTACAAACGTGCCTGTCTGTGTCCCTGTCCTTTCAGAGATCTGTACGCAGAGACTCATGTCGCTGAGCTGCTGGTTCAGATTCTGAGTGCAGTCGATTACCTTCACAGCCGTCGAGTCATCCACCTGGACCTGAAGTCTGACAACATGCTGGTGGATGATGGTAACCACTTAAAGATTGTGGACTTTGGCTCAGCTCAGTCCTACACACCCGGACAGCCCCTCAACATCGAGCACATCCAGGGCCTGTCGGAGAGCAAAGGTACTGTTGCATTCCTTGTTTAATTTCAAAAGGGAAATTAAATTGTGTGAGATATTAAAGCTCGCATTGTTGTTGATTCTTCTAATGTACTAAACCTTTGACTGTCATGGCCTTCAACAGACTGCCGCAGCAAAGGTACATATTCTTTAAGGGAGGACGGATTGATGGATGGAAATAACTCAGCCTAACTTCATCCACCTCAGCAGATCCTAGCTACCATAACCTAACAAGCCCAAGTCCATTTTACTATTTTTTTTTTTTTTTATCCAATTCTTTCTGATTTTAGTCATTTTCTTAAAATAGAAAATTAAAAATGTGAGTGAATGTGGCATAGCCAGTAAAAGCACAACTCTTTATGAACAATGTCCTGTGTCTGTCTATTTTGCCAGTTTATATTGTCCTTCCTAAAGCTCCGGAGATCCTGGAGGGTCAGGGTGTCGGGCCTGAAACTGATGTTTGGGCTATTGGAGTTCTGTCGTTCATCATGTAAGTCCAAACATACAGGTGGAACAGCTGCATATACATATATACTTTTAGAAAATATGTGGTCATGTTTACTGAGTTAAAAAAAAAAAAAAAAGAAAACATTTAGAATCCAAAATAAGATACTGATGATTTGATAAAGGTGGCACCCATTCTTGCAAAATAGCAACAATCAACAATAGCATAACAAATTCTTTGCGATGGTAGTTGACAAAATTTCAGTTTTACAGATTAAAATGTCTGAATGTTCTTTCTGTACATAATATTTTCTTGTTATTTAGGTAGGCTGTAGGTTTATTTGCTCAAGTTATGAGTAAATATAAATGTTAACAGTGCTGCAGACAAACTCTTCTGTACTTCACTGAGGCAAAATGATTAACTTACTTAGTAATGCATGTATTATGTTTTTGTATAATTGCTTTCTTTGCTAGGTTGAGCGCCGACAGCCCGTTTCATGCAGAGCTCAGCTGGGAGCAAGACAGAAACATCAAGAAGGGGAAGATCCAGTTCGGACGCTGTTACCCTGGTCTGTCAGAGGGAGCCTTAAACTTCATGAAGACCAGCCTGAATAACAAATCCTGGTAAGTGTATCTGTTAAAATGTAGTCTGCATGTTTTGAAGTCATTCTTCTGATGCAAACCAAACCAAAGATTATTAGTGTAAAATGTTGCATTAGTGGATGAGGAACATAAATGTGTATATTCAATAAAATTATGAAATTAAATTTTGCAGGGGGAGACCCACTGCAGCTGAGTGTCTCCAGAACCCATGGCTGCGTGCTCCTCGTGCGCCACACAAAGCCCGACAATCCAAGGTGTGTTTCTCCACAGACAAGCTTAAAGCTTACCTCAATCAGAAGGAAGAGAAACGAGACCTGGTCCACACCAAGCTGCAGGGTCCCTTCTTCCAGTAAAGCAATGATGCCAAAAAAAAAAGTAGGATTTTCTTTCACCAGCAGGTTTTCCTAAAAAAAATATGCAGCCTTATAACCGATACATTTCATTTCAGCTGTGTGGTCCGTTTTTAAATAATTTTGCTATCCTCTGATTATGAGAATGTAATGCGTCTTAATGAGTTTCCAAATTGTTCTTGTCTATTAGTTTGTACATGAGAGTGCGGTGCATTTTGTTTGCTTTGGTTTCCATGGAAACAGATCAGGGATAAGGTTAAGTCTATGCACGAGCGTACACTGTTTGCTCTGTGACATGTTTTTCTCCTCAGCATCAGACAGCTGCACATGTTTGGTCTGACAGTATAAGATATTTTCTGTGCCATTCTGCTCCAAACAGAAGGCAGATACATTTCTGAGTTCTTTACAGCATTTTATTTAAATCTTTACATGTTCTACCTTAAGATTGCAATGTATAAATGGGAAATTGATTAGATTTATAGGTTTTACTGGACGCTTCTAAGTTTAATATTAATAATATATTGGGTCAAAAACCCACCTGAATGAGTTAGTGAATGAAAGATTAATTAAATGGCACAAAAGTGGTCAGTGATTGTCCTCAAATTCTTTATTCAGTCTCACACACACAAACATACATGCACATGTTTTGAATGTGCTCATCATGCCCCACATACAGTATATACACAAATATACGCAGTGACTTTAGCGTCATGTAATCTTTGAGTAATATTCAGCATGTCAGTACATTTTTAAATTTTACATTTAATTATGAGTCAGTTTATTTCCACTATATTAGAATTCAACAGAAAAAAAAAAAAAAGTTATTAATTTCCAAACAATTTCTAACTATTGGTGGTGGTGTGCGCAGCAGGTACTGTCTGGTGATGCAGGTGTGTACTCCACACTTCACTGGTTTTGGCAGTTGTTTCTATTGTTTTTCTTTGATGTGTAACTTGGGTTAGGATTTTCTTACATAGATATTGACCATTAATTGCTCCAAATCTAACACATTCTACCATTCAACTCAGAGTCCCTCCTCTCCATCTGAGCATCTCTGAGGATATTACATAGAGGGTAAAAGAAAAACAAACTTTTCTTCAGATGGGAGTTAATTTCAGGTGAGTTTACTGTTTCCTTTTTATGATTTGGCCTCCTGAACTTTTTGGATTTCCTGTAGAAAGAGAAATGAGGACTACTTTAGTATTTTGCTGATAAACTGATGGTCTTGTCCAGAGATTTGTGAATATAAAAGTATCTGTATTCTACAGCTGGCAGACAATAGTAGCAAAGTGTTTGTTTAAATAAAACAGCCGGTTCATTTTATTCTTTTACTCACCTCATTGAGGATATCTTTCAGCTCCTCATAGGCCCTCTCTAAGTCATCATTAATGATAACAATATCAAACACGCCCGGCTCCTTACCTAGAAAAAAAAGACGTGAATCAGCTGCAACGATTGTCTTTATTTCAGCATCGTGTGTGAGCAGAACTGCCGAGAAACTTACTGAGCTCCATGTCAATGCGTGCTGCCTCCAGACGTTTCTGTAAACTCTCCTCTGTTTCTGTCTGCCTGTCCCTCAGACGTTTTTCCTGAGAAAAACATTACAACTAGTCATTATCTTAAGCAAGAGAGCTGCTCCATGAAACAACAAAACAGCAGTTATATGATAACATCATGGTTGCTGCTGTTTAACATGACAATCGAAAGTATAAAACGAACAACTTTCTAATCCGCACAAGCATGGAACGAGCTTAAGTGCAGAAATGGAAATATTGCAATATACAGTATTACATTAATGCAATATAAAAATTTGGACATTTACCAGGATCTCCATGGAAGGAGGCTGGATGGAGATGTAGATGGGGTTCAGGTCAGTCTCTTTAATCCTTTTCACCCCCTGGATGTCCACATCAAGGATGCAGATTAGGTTCTTGGCCAGCACGTCTTCTACGGCAGCTTTACTGCAGAAACAGTGCAGTGTTACAGTATGAAATTACACCAAACACAAACCCATTTAGATAACCAGGACCACAGAAATGAACAGAGGTGGGTTTGATAATCTCCAAACATGTACTGAATGTGTAACCATGGCATTTTGTTGCTCCTCACATGTAGTGACTAAGGTAAGAGGATCGCTGCATTGATCCGTGCTGCTCAGACCGCAGTGAGTGTGTTATCTTCAGAATAAGAGCAAGAGATTAAATGTGACACACAAGGTGCTGAGCTGCGGCGCTGCTCTTTTTGACCTAAAGGGCGTTAAAGCTCCATCTGTCACAAGGCTATTATATAGCCTTTTGATCCCTGTGGCCCAATCTGAGAGTCTCCTCTTATACAAGGCAGCAGACTTCATTTTTTTTTAATCAATTTTGACACTGATATCCCGTTATCTTATTGGGTTTTCGCTCATTTACTCTGTATTACTTTCATTCTCGTAGGCAGGATGGAAAAGCTTCTGAAACAGTATTTAAATCTATTTTTTTTTAAAAATTAAATCATACAGATGAAGTTAATTTGGCAGGTAAAACAGTCAAATTCTTATGAACTGGGATACTTTTAAAAATGAATAATATTTAAGAAAAAATACATTTTGCAAGTGAATGAATAGAAAAATGTGCACAGAGATATAAAAGGAATATACTTTTTTTTTTTTTTTTTTTTTTTTTTTTTTGGAAATCCGGATGCCATTGATTACATATGGTGACATTCATGCTGAGATGCAAATAGGCTATTTACCTTGTTCCATACATGTTGCCGGAAAACTCTGCATTCTCAATGAATTCGCCCTTGCTGATGCCCTCCTCCATGGCCTCTCTTGTTGTGAAGTGGTAGTCTGTAAGATGCAACATTAATAATAAATCTAGATCTGACATTAAACCTTGCACAATGGAAAGGAATTGTAGTTTAGTGAAGGATGACCTCGGTTTTATCACAATAAATAGTGAACGTCACAGTGATCACAGGCAAAATTAAAGAGAATCCTATGAACCAATATTTTAGATTGTGTTTATGTGCATGATGTTCTCCTCTGAGCTAAATTTCAAACTGTGATGCAGTTGCAAAAAAACAGACATTCTCTAAACATAAAGCGTGCAAAGGTGAGAAATATGTTTTTAGCCAAATATTTTCTTAAGATGCCGTTAGTGTAAGCAGTCACACACATTTTATTGTCCATACCCGATCCATCTTCACAACATCAAAACCTCTGGAGATCTAAAACAGCAGAGTTTTAGAAACAAACACGTTACTACTACTACCACGAGCAGCCACTGTGATAGCACGCAATCATTAAAATAACGACTCTGAAGGAGTCTGCTGAGACTGAAGTAACAATCTGAAGGGAATGCTGGATAGAACAGGAAGTGACTGTGCCGTCGCTTGAAAGCAAGACAATAAATTTTAAATGGCACTGCAGTACATGATCAAGATCAAAAGTTCACTTTGGTCCAAACAATCCACTGTTGTGTTACTCATATTTTGGATTAATAAAACTATATTCAGTGTCTTATTGTCAGTGTATGAAAAAAGAAGAAACATGAATAGCATGCGACCGTCTGCCTGAGTGTTTTCATGAAGTTTCAACACATTAAACGGATGTAACGTTTTAGAAAGGTCAGATGGACCCTGTAGATATATGTGTATATATATATATAAAGACACATAATATATATAAAAATGCACTTGCTGAATCCTGTGACACTAATGGTTGCAAATCATCAGTGCTCTATCGGCCACAGTGGGAAATGGGACAGTTAAACGTCACTGGACTGGAGATGGGGCTCACTACTGAGGCATCACAGGGGGCTATTTTCAAAAGCTTTTTACTCCAAAGTGTAGACTGTCTGGTCCTGATTCCTGAGATCATATCATTTTCTTTTTTTTTTTTTTTTGTTTCGATTTTTTTGTTTGTCACATGACTTGTTCCTATGAATCCAATTAGAGCGTGCCAGGATGATGAAAGTAACCCCCTTCCCTCTTGCCGTAAAAAAAAAAAACTGATCAGGAATCACACTGAGGTCACCTTCATCTGTGGTTTCTGATTCGTTTGGACACGAAAATGAAGTTGACATTTCTAAGTCTTCAGAGGAAAAGACGTCTGCTACAGGCAGTAAAGTAGCCCCCAGAAGCATGGGGAGTTTGTTCAGCCCTATGGAGAAAGCAAAAAAGGCACAGAAAGAGGTTTATCCCTTTATATCAAGGGAGCTATACAGCGGGGACAAAACCATTTGTGCAGTTCACTTGGGAGTAAGAAGTATTGTGGGCGTTGTTGTGGACCATGCAGGTCGGGGAGGCCGGTGGTATAGACACAAAAGGAAAGAGGTGTATTGTCAAATACCCTAGTTCAGAAAATATACTTTTATCACAGCACTACAGATTCAAATCCAAGCCTAGGGTTGCTGCTTGGTGAATCTCAGAGCGTGGTGGTCCTACTACAGCATGAAGGTGCTGAAAATGTCAACCACCGCTCTGTTTCGAGCCAGAACTGTACCTTTGCCATCTTCCTCGCCTGGTCGAGGGTTTCTTGTTGTGTCTGTGAGGAGAGGATTTCAGCATTAAAACCCATCCAGAAATAAAGCAATAAATCATGAGTAATTTTGCTTTTGATGGATATCAAAGTGGAATGCTGAGCTGCTGCAAAAATCTCAGTTCCCACATTACAAGTTTTACTGATGTCGCACAAATCTACAGGCCAATGCAGCATTAGATGCCTTGCCTCCTGCCCAACTTCCTCCAGACAGGATGTCATGGAGGAAGCCAATCACCAGTTGGCACACAAACGTACGTGACACGCTGAATCCAAAGACGTCTTCATGATCCTTCATCAGCCTCTTCATTAGAGTGCTCTTCCCTGCTCCGGAGGGGCCGCTCAGCACCACGGGCCTCAGTCCTGACATTATTCTGAGACAGACAGACAAACACAGACAGGGACAGAGTGAGCTCAGGTTTGTGCCAGAAGCGGATTAAAAGCAGATCTTTTGTGCCAGACTAAATCCAGCATTAAAGGTATGGCAGCCATTTTTAGAATAAGATACAGCGTATCGTAGTATTCATTACCATCACCCCTGAGTGGTGAACTATTGTTTCTATGAAGTATTTTACATTGCTAAACTCTCTTCATATACATTACTACTGCAGTGCTGGTAAAGCTCCCCTGATCTAAGGTGCAGTTTGACTAATCCTTTGATCCAAGCTTCTCTTATCCACTACACTGACTGACTACACATGAGGAAACATCCCAACAGGCCCATACTGTACAGGGTTAAAAGCAGACCTTTGCTCCCATATTATTGTGGCTTTAATCTCCACTCATAATAAATTAACACTTAGAAATTTCCTATGTCCTTTTTCTTTAATTAAAATATTAAAGCACATCCATGTCCTAATTGCTGACTTGTTAGACAGCCAGAGGCCCTGGGGTTAATGTTAAGAATGCCTCTTAATGAAGTCATGGCAGGTCAGTCAGCAGGATTAATTGGATCTGGGCCAGGCAGCACAAAGAGTCCTGGACAGGTGGCCCAGTTACCTGCTGTGCTAGGAGAGGATGATGTTTCAGGGATGTTGTTGAATCAATTGATTTAGAATCCCCATTAACACAATTACTTAATAACACAGGATCTGTACCAGTTTAAAAAATAGCACATAAACTGACAGTAACAGTACATTTACTCAAGTATTGTACTTTAGTACAATTTTTAGTGGTACGTCAGTATTTACACTATACAGCTTACAGCTATAAAAAAAAAACAGCTACCCCTCAACCAACTACACAGTGTTAAAATGCTGTTTAATCATTTTATTTTTGGTGTTTTAAGTGCATTTTACTGAACATGCTTATGAAGGACATTTTTCCTCTTAGCAATCATGGAAATGTGTCAAATGACTTGTTTATTTTGGCTAGAACTTCTATATTTTGAATGTGCATTATAACTTCAAATACCTGAACAGTGGAATACAACTTTAATGTACCTTTCTTCTAGTTTAAGCTGAGGTGTAAACCAGAACTCATCTTCAACTAAGTTTCCTCACCTGCATAAAGTAAGGAGTAATTCTGTCAGTGTCTATATCACCATGTTTAAAAGCTTTATTGTGTGTTTTTTCATTGTACAAATTAATTTAGTAAATGACTTAAAGCATATCATTGCATGATCAGGTTTTAACAAGTAAAAATTCCACCTTACCTTGTCTCTGTCTGTATCGTCTGTGTCGCAGAGGCAGATGATTCTTCAGCAAGGCTTCTTAATGGACTGTATACAATGTGTGTGTATTTGTGTGTGTGAGTGTGTGTCACGCTGATTCACTGAAGCAGCTCACTGTCAGTCTGAATTACCACCACCTCCCTTCAGCTCAGCGACCAATCACATGTGTGCGTGTTGGCTTGTTTTTATCCACACCGTCCATGCAGGGCACACTTCGTACAGACCACAAGACAAGAGGGTTTTCATGAACAAATGATAGTGACACTGTTTAAATCCACTACGATGTACTGCAGCAGAAGATTTGTACAAATTCACTTGGTGAAGTTGTTTCCACTGAGACTCCAGAGACTTGTTGCTGAAGCACCAGATTTTGAATTTTGGCTTTTGGCTTTGAAAGAAAAAGCCAGGTGAACATTAAGGAGGTAAATGACCTGTAATTGAAAAAAATCAATCATCACAAAGTAGGGGTTGAAGATTTTTATTTATTATTTATTTACTATTTTTTTTAATCTATCTTTATTTATCCAGGATAGTTTCAGGTTCGTTCACAGGAAGGTTCATAGTTGGAAGCTGCCTTGTAGTTAAAGGTTAAAAGCTTTGCTCAAGGGCACATACGTGGCAGAAATGAGGGAAGTATCTGCTCTGCTCTTTTACTTTTCACACTAATGGAGTTACGTTTGGATAACTTAAAGAAAAATAAATAAATCATGCAGTTGAAAGCTTCTGTTAACTGACTGCTGATCGACCCTAAATTATATCATTATGGTACAGACATTAACAATTTCCCCCTTGTGCATTTGGTGGTGTTTTCCATCTGTGTGTGGTGTGATTGACTCCTGGTTGTCTCAGCACTCGAGTGGTCAAGTAAAAGCTCAGAATAGCAGGGTTTAGTGTTCCCTCCACTCCAGATGAGCTGCGATGGGCTCTGCCTGGCTAATCCTACACCGACCCACTTCTTAAAGGGCGAATACACCACATACAGTCATCATAACCAACACAAGATGCTTTTGCGTTCTCTTTTCAAAGATTTTGTGAAACAATGTTTTTAGACACACATTTTATTGTAGTAACATTGATAAAATTAGATTTAATGATCCTGTACAAAGAAACACGTCAGTGACAGAGACAAAATGAGCCTGGATGTTATGATATTACTGTTAGTGAACCTGCAGGAGCTAAACAAATAATAGATGATCTAATCAAAGACTCTGTACAGTAAATACAGTCAGGTTGTTCTGCTAGTCAACATCATATACACACACCAATCCAAACATACACAAAAGTATGTACATGTGCTTTGAATGTGATTGAACTTTTTTTTTTTTTTCATAAAACAGACAAAAGGATTATAAAATCGATAAATATTGTCCCAAAGCATTTTCCTCTATGTGTCTTTTCAGTGCCTGAGCTCTCAGTCGGTTTTAAATGTGTCTTCAGATCTGGTTGATGTTGCAGCAGGAACATGGATATTGTACAGGGCTGTAAAAGGAAGGTCAAAGGTCACGTTTGCTGTTGTTCAACTTAGAACTTAGGAGTACACTGACGTAAAGAAATGACCAGGAAGGTAGGAGGAGGAGGAGAAGAAGGAGGGTGGGAGTCTATGACAGGCCAGCTGCCCACAAGTCCACCCCTGATTGGCTAAAAGAGAAGAAGCCCCTCCCCTCTCACAGGTAAACCCGCCTCAGGTCTCCAGGTGAAGTGATGGTGTTGCACTGAGGACACAACTTCTTTGCTCCCTGAAAAAAAAAAAAAATCACTTGCATCAAACATGCATCTGGGCATTTTGCTTCATTTTCATGTTTATAGCAATCAAGATGAATCTCATGTTTTACCAGCGTCCGAAGCCAACACTCCTCGCAGTGAACATGCCAGCACTGGATGGAAGTGAGCGGGGTTGTGTAGGTGTCCTGTAGAGAGAGAGAGAGAGAGAGAGGCAGAGAGGCAGAGATGATACAGGTGAAGATTTCTTTCCTGTAGTACAAAAAGCTGCCCCTAGATGTCCATGTGAAACTACAGTAAGAGCATTACAGGAGGAGACGCTCCTTTTACATCAACTTTTACTGAAGCCCCTTTAATGATCGGAAAGATCCAGCTGGGGTGTTTACTGCTTTATTACGCTGTTTCCCTTTTAACAGATGATAAAATACATATTGCTTTGGCATTTCTCCACATCATTTCATATCAAAATAAGCAAGGTAAGCCCATCACTTAAAAAGCTCTTTGACTTGCCTCCTTCAAAATAAAAGTATGGATCATTAGTGTATTCAGATGTACAGGACTCTGATCAAAGGTCCACCTGGACACAGGGCTTCACAAAAATATGAAACAGCAATTTAAATGTTCTGAGTTTTTTTTTTTGCAGTTACTTAGCTATTTACATTTTTGGCTAATACCAGAGATACGATGGTATATAAAATAAGGCTGCAACTAATTCATTATAGAAAAAAAACAGCAAATTCTCACATTTGAGAATATGGAAGCACATTTGTGGCATTTTTGCTCATTATATTACTTAGATGATAAAGTGATGATGTAGATTAATTTTCTGTATAGAAACTATTTAATTAATTGACTAATATACGGCGTTGGACTAAAACGGTCTTGAAAAAAAATCTAATCAGTATATTTACACTAGGTGTCAGAGCCAGGTTTCAAGATCCAGATTTGTTTTACATTTATGAATCAATCTATATTAACATAATACAGATTTGACACATGACATTCATGTCAACTTATCATACTGAGAGTCTGCACCGTAATTGAAGTGTGATGTCAGACACATGTTCCTACGATTTTAAATATTATTTTAATATTACCATGACCAACAATATTGATATATTGCCCAGCTCAAAACACAGGTCCCTACAGGAATATCATCAGTTTCTGCACTACTGCGCTGTTATCTCCATTTTGTGTGTCCGCTCTGTCGCTTTAATTTGCCTTCGTACTCACCATGCAGATGAGGCATTTAAATCTGTCTCCTTTAGACAACTGTTTTTCCAAATCCCGTATCCGAGCTTTAAGTGCATCCAGAGTTGTCAGTGTGGAGTCCTCTGAGAGCCTGTGCACACAAATACACACACACGCAAGCATACATACATAGATACATACACACACACACACACACACGCGGATGGATGGACGGTAACAGGAGGGGAGAGGGGAGGGTGCGTGAGTTAGGCAGACACTGGAGAGTCATTTATAAATCGAAGACAGATTAAATTATTCGCTGGCCAACATGGACACTGAGCATGAAATTTAGCAGCAATCACATTGCCTGCATTCGCTGTCTCATTTATCATAAGTGTAGGCAGGGGGTGGTGAGGTGAGGCGGGGGGGGTGGGAGGGGGGCGGTGAGGTGTCAGGGTCCTCACAGAGATAGACACACACACACAAACACTCTCACAATTACCGGATAGACTTTATGTGCAAACATACTGTACATGGAGGCAGACGGGCTACAGTGCATTAAGTGTGATGAAATGTGTGTACATGTGTGCATTGCCTGCTATGACCTTGATTGATGATATCATCACATTGATATAGTATTGTGTATCATGCTGGTGGGAGCAGGGGCAGGTAGTCTGAGCGTATATGACACAGAGAGAGAGAGAGCCGGGCCGCCAAAATACACTCTACAGAGAGGGATGGTTACACTTCCTCAGATGTGATTCATGCGTGTCCCAGCACACGCAATTCGCTAAACCCAACACACCCAACTCACCCCTGTGACCCAAACCACGTCAGCTTACAAGTAAGAACAATAACAACTCCTTTTGTAAAGTTTCATCACCATCATCATCTCAAACAGTATGTGCAGACAGATGTAGTGAAGTCCAACTGACTAACAAAGAGAACTATTTATTCAAACAAAGGAAGTTATTATCACTTACACTGACAACTTTTGAAATGATGAGCAGTGAGGGTGTTTCTGGCAGTGAGAAGTGTGACACAGACATGTGAGTGAAACTAATCAGACAAACTTACATCTCTATCTCAGTATTTTTGCAGGTTTTGGGCAGAGCAGTTAAACTGCCGTCCACTTTATCTCCACTGCTGGTAGACGGACTCCCTGAGTGAATGAACAAACAACAATTAAGAGAATAAATTGTGACCAAACTCAGTAACATCTACCTGCAAAACCTGCTCTTATGAACTCTCAAGAGTCAATCCTTCTTTTTTTCCTTATTTAATCACTTCATTCGTTCAGAGTTCGCTTAACTCACCATCAGTTAACCATTTGGAAAAGTCTAGGTTTACTCTGGAATCAGGCAATGTACTGCTGCCGCCGCTGCTGCTGCTGCTGTAAAAGAAAACAAAACAGAAATTTAAAAGCCAGAAAACTGAGAAAATTGAAGGAAGATCTATAAGGAATATAGCATATAATTATTTCAGGTAGGAAACATACTTCACTGTCGTCTCCTTGCAGCTTTCTCCTGAGCAGGGGATCACATCTGTGTCCGTGTATCTGACAATAAAACTCAGGAAAATGTTGGGAGTAAGACCTATACAATTAAATCTGACCTATAAAATTCTGAGAAATATTATTTACCTAAAACTAAAGGATTTAAAAAAAAAAAAAAATTGTTAGTCAAACTTTCTCCAAGTGTCTTCTTTTTTGAATCATTCTTCATCAACTTTTTAAAGTCAGCATTTCAAGACAATATTGCTCTCAACATAATCGATTAGAAAAATATAGTTTAATCACTTTGTAGCTTGATTTTTCTCACTTCACTATAAAACTTGAACACACAGTAAAATGCTGTGATGTTGCGTTGTTGTTGCACTGTGCGTTCATTGTAAAGGATACTGTGCTCTGCCGTACTCAAGAGTATCATCTCCGTCCACGTCCAGGTCTGCATCGCTGTCTCGACAATCCTTAGAAGTTGTGCTCACCAGCATTGCACCTGATAAGACAATTTTAGATGAATTTAGACTTCTTTTTTTTTTTAAAAAACAGCTACCTGACTGTATGAAGACGCTTGTTAAAGGACAAATCAGAGAAGGGATTTGTTCTCATTTATAAGTTCACAATAAGGATGAATTTTGGAATCGCATAGTGTTCTGTTGCCCAACTCTCTACCCCTCCGCTTGTTTCTGTCAGTCAGAGTATAACAAGTTTGCAGGTCAGAGCTTTCTTCTTCTCGGGTAGAGGAAACTGTTACTTTTAAGCTAACCTTCCAGGCATCCCGCTCCGCTGTAATCTGGACTGAAAAGTTCAGTGGTTTTTCAACTGCCACTCAGTCACATTATTCACGCTCCACTGAACAAGATCACACACATGGGTACCTCGATGGCACACGCACACACACACACGCACACACACACCCGCACACACACTAAGATTTATTCTTACCTTTAAGCCCTCCGACTATAGACGTCATCTGTATCCTTCTCCTCTCATTCCACTCGTCCTCCAATGGCACCAAGTCCGCTGAACCCTCCTAAAACACACACACACACACACACACACACACACACAAACATATAAAGAACACAAGTTCACTGTCTGGATGAATATGTCCGTATGCCTCCTATAGCCTCGAGCTGCATATCTGCCTCTGTGTTTTCATAGCTGTGAACCAACGCCTGCAGTGTTTTCACATGGATACACACACCGAGCTGACAGTGATCCTGATGCTACGTGAACAAAGGCAGTCAACGGTGTCAGAGGGTTCAGACCGCCGCCGTTCTCTCAACCTGCCCTCCACATTTTACGTATTAATCTCTGGTTACAATAGAAATGTCAAGGAAACAAATATTTCCATCTGTCTGTCTGCTCAAAGAAAAAAAAAAACACACACCTGTCCCTCCTCTGGTTTCCTCCTCTTCAGCTTTCCAATCCTGACTGGGAACAAACAGAGGAAGAGACAGTGATACAGTTACTTAAAGGCCACAGTGACTTCATTTATTTATCTATCACACAAACAAAATAAGAGCATGTATGAAAGTTATTAAGGGAAAGACGAGGGCAGATTTTTTTTTGGCTGAAGGTTTTGGTTTACTGACTTTTTTGGGGAAGGGACTATGGGGATATTTGTTCTCATCCTAAAGTTATATTTTATTCCAGCCTTTTTGCAACATAAAAAATAATTAGCTATATAAATAGTTGCATCAAAGAGACAACTTTAAGTTGCATCATGGTTCATAAAGATGCACTTTGCCATATGAAGAGGACTACAGTTTTGTCTCTGTATAGGGGTCTTATTGAAGTTCCATTAAGATATTAATGTTTAAATTAAGGTAAACTACTAAACAAGTTGCAGCAATTTACTGCAACACTGTTATATTCATGAAAACATTTTTTCTACTTTCTAAAAATTTTCTATTTAGTGAATATGAAAATCTTGTGACTTTTACATTTCATTAACCCTAACCAGGGGTATCGTGGTTTTAACAAGAGCCGAACACAGACACGGCCAGGATCATGATATCCTGCAGGAAAATAACAGTTGTAACCAGTCTGATGTCCATTTTAAAATCGTTTTGAAAGAACACATTTGGAACAGGGCAGGCGTTGATGAAGCTTGAGGTCATGTGACAGGGCTGTGGAGGCCAGTAGGACAACCACTGATGTACAACATTGTTTGAACTCTTTTCGGCTTATGTGTGGACTAACCTATAACACAATCACAGTAACACACAGACCCTGAAATACACTTACACAAATGAGGGCTCCATATACACAACAGCTGCAGGTTTTTTCAACACTGGAGGCAAAACCTTCCTCCCATCCCGGTCCTGTCATCCCACCCTGCCCCTCCCCCCATTTTCCTCTCTGATATAAAAGTTAACATGGCAGAACACCAACTGCACCTCTTCTCTCACTCTGACCTGACTGACTGCAGATTGCATAAGGGGACATTAAGTTTTAGGGCCCTCTAATTCCTGCTGGATGACAGTGGCCCCCGAGGGGGGGACACCCAGAGAGCTGGTGGCCATGACCCGAGTGCTGCCATCCCAGCGAACATAATGAGGGTTAAAGAGACGGTCATAGATGAGGAAGACCTCATCAAACACAGAGAGGAGAGAGAGAGAGAGAGAGAGAGAGGTTGATTAATCAACAGAGGAGCAACCCCCCCCCCCTTTCCCCTCCTCCTCCTCTTCCCCTCTTCTTCTTTTTCTTTCCTGACGTGTATTTAGAAGCTCATTATGCTGTCCTGTTATAAGGCCCAATAAAGGCTAACAGACCTCGACAGCACTGGCAGTTTCAAGACTCAGCTAAGAGCCAGAGAATCTCTGCAGCAATAATCGCAGTAGTAAGATGTGTGTAGTGTCAGCTGCAGCTTTTAAGGTTGCTCTGTCGATCTATATGTCTATATCAGCGCAGAGACACTGTCAGATTACTTTTAAAACTGTTAGATGAGCAAGTCTAACCGGCTGTAATGGGAGAGATTAAAAATATATGTTCTTTTAAAATTTATGGGGCTCAGTTGGAAAATTGAAAGTACCAAATCCAAACGTTATTAATGGTTTATAACTGCTCGATGATGTGGACCACACTTACATTACTGTAAAGATGAGAGATGAATTCAATTTTAATATATAATGATATGTGACCCCATATAAAAATCACACACTGAATAATCAAACTCATGTCTTTCATAGTAACATAAAAAAAAAAACATTGCTCATAAGGTGCAAGAGTGACGTTAGAGAATAAATCATTACTATTTATCAACTTTCACTTTTAAAACTAGTAAATCATCACTTTGCAGTTTTACTTAATAAATAACTTAAACAAGACAATAGTGTTGTCTAGTGTGTGTATTTTCGGGAAAGTAAAAGTATTCAAACTTGCATCAGTTTAAATCCAGCACTTAGCTGCTCGAAAAAATGAGTGTGGGGATGAAAAAAGTGCTTCTTGGTGTGTCTTACCAGCTTGTGTGCAGTCTAGGTGGGCTCCTGCGCTGTGGGGGCGTAATGGGGCAGATTTGACGTAGCACCTGCACCAGCAGAGGTCATCGACTGTTAACATATCAAGAGGTCAAAGTTGAAAGGTTAATAGCTCCTCTGCTCGTGTGGGCGCTAGGCCAGTGGAGATGGTGTGGGAAAAAGGGTGATATCTGAACGACTGGTGAGGGAGGAGGGTGGGGGAACGAAACACACAACTGGGCGCATCAGTGTGAACAAAGGAAACTAGAATTTTCTTTCTTTTTTTCTTTTTTTTAAACTTTGCCTCCTTACTTGTATAAATTTAAAGTCATTTAAAACTGCAGACCTGACTCTACTGTACTGAACTCTCTCTTAAGGACAAACTGAGTCAGCAGCAATGAGACACAACAAGTTCACTCTGCATGCATTAACGTACCATTTAGTCTTGTGTGTCTGTTGGCCCGCACTCGGAGAAACGTCTGCAACAAACAGAAGAGCAACATCAGAATGTGTCTTTTTTTTTTTTTTGTCACGTTGCTTTTAAACTTAACATTTTTTTAAATGATATTTAAACTGAAATAAATCAACAACAGTTCGGTAGATGTTAAGAGAATTTCCAAATGCTTCACCAGATGTGTTCATTCTTTGTGATTTATAGGTGTAACACCATAGTAACCTTCACCATAGACCATAGAAGTAAGTGACTGCTATTCTGACACCAAACATGTCTTTGTATGGTTTTCTTCTTTTCACACATTTTCTGTTTGTACTTTATTTACTCAATATTGTCACTCCCTCTCTTCTCTTATTTCTGCTCATCTGAATTGAGGGTGTCAAGAAATAAGAGTGTAGTATGTTGTACAGATTGTAAAGTTTTTTCATTTTTCATTTATTATATCCAGGTCTAAACTCCAGTGGAAATACATGCACGTTCACGACCATGTGCACTCCTTTGAAACCTGGACATTCATGTGAAAATCTCCTCCTGATAAATCTGACACTGATTTTCACCTGGTATCGGTCAGAGTGGGCGTCCTCAGCTGGTCGAGGGGGTGAGGTGGGAGAACCTCCTTCACGCTTTATATGCAGAGAGAGAGAGAGAGACTGGACAGAAAAAACAAGAAAGAAGAGAGAGGGTAAGAGTCAAAGGCAAGATGATGGTGGATGTTTTTTTTTTTTTTTTCTTTACTGAAATTCATGAAGATGTCACCTTTGGGGTCCTTAAGAGGTGTTCGTGCTGAACCGGAGTGGCACTGTAGAGAAAAGAGGCAAATAATACAGAAGCATGTATGTTAAACAAGATTGGAAATAGACAGACACGCAACACATACACACACACACACACACACACACACACACACACACACACACACACACATATAAATCAACTACACTATCTTCTTATACAACATACAAACATAATATTATCTTTTAAATGTCATCTTGTAAATAACCTCTGCTTTTATCTTGTCTGAATTTGTATCTGAGACTGTGTATAACCTCATTTCACTCTTTCTCACTTTATGTTACTGTAACAGTTACACACACTCTCTTTCACACACACACACACACACACACACACACACACACAGTGTCCCCGTGGGCCAAGTTCAATTTGAAACCATTACTGTCCACGGAGCGGTCGTTAAGCAGATTTGGAGTGTAATGTCTTTATTGGAGGAATCATTCTTCTGGTCTAAGCAGCAGGTAATGTGTGTATGCATGTGTGTATGTGTGTGTGTGCGTGTGTGTGTGTGTGTGTGTGTGTGTGTGTGTGTGTGTGTGTGTGTGTGTGTGTGTGTGTGTGTGTGTGTGTGTGTGTGCACCTCTGGTCTTTCTGTGTATGTTTCAGACTGTGCGTGTGTGTGTGTGTGTGTGTGTGTAGGCCTCAAAGCAGCCATTAGTGGGACATTATCCCCCGCTGTATGAGATGTTGCCTTGAGGCCGGAGGCTGTAATATGAAATATGTAGGGAACAATGAGGCAGCTTGTAAACACTGCACACAGGTGACAGAGAAGACTGTCAACATTAATTATCCTCTGAAAGCTGAAGAGAATAGAAAGCCTGGGATGCAAAACCGGAGGAAAATGACAGAGGGATAAATGGGAGAAGTGAAAAGTTGGAGGAAAAAAGACATTTGTGTATAAAAACCTTAATAAAGTAAAGGAAAATAAAGATAACGGACTGAAAATAAGATTTTAGAGTGATCGTAGTGAAACCTGAGTGAGTGTGATACCTGATTTGCAGCTGGGCGAGTTTGGTTAACTCCTGCTCCATGTGTTCTTGCAGCTCTCCCGGTCGCAGAATGGCCTGGCAGACTGGACACATTGGCGCCTGAGTGTCGTAGAGACCCTTCACCTTAACTGGATAGAGGAGGAATGAGAAGGTTAAAGGAAGTGTCAGAGGACCTGTATCGTGATTTTCATATTGTCTTGGTCTGTCAGGCTATGGGAGCGTCTTTGTAGTAAAGGCAGGCTATGTAGTAAAGAAAGCTGTGCCACAGAAAACACGATGAGAGATAGTGCTCAATGTGGGAATGGACAAAAACTTGCAGGTGTAGTTTTTCCCTTTTTTTTACTTTCTTTTTGTATATTGCCTTCATTTGGGGTAATTTCTGATGTATTTGTTACTGATGCATTGATATGTAAGCTGCATTTCACTGTGGTTGAATGGAGCTGTTTTGAGCAACGTCATATACATTATCTTACTGCTGGGTGGGTTAATATTTAACAATCCAGCACATGCTAATATCCCACTCAACATTTTGCATGTGGAATATTAATCAATAAAGTAACAAGTAAGAACAGTACAGCTGTCAGATGTATTATATTTGCCTCTGAAGTGTATTGGAAGTTTAAACTAGCATTAAATGGAAATACTCAAGTAAAGTAGAAACACCTGTGAAGACTGGAGTGAAATTACTTTCCACCACTGCAATTTGTTAACATACTGTAGATGCCCTGCAGTTGTGTACCTGTGTGTGTGTGTGTGTGTGTGTGTTCAGTAGACCTATCTGTACTATTGACAGACAGTGGGAGTGAGAGTAAAATAAGGTTACACACACACAAACACACAGACACACTGCTATGGCCCCCTGCTGTCAGTGTGTTGACATCATAGGCTGTCAATAGGAACATTACCCAGGAGGGCCACTCGGCCCATTGGGCCCCACTGATGGATTACTGCCATAAGCAGCCAGCTGGGAGCCTGAGGAGCTCTACTATATCAAGATTTTACCTAGTAGATGAGGTGATTTACTCCTGAAAGCCATCAATCACATGGAGAGAGCTAGTGGGCAAGATGCACCTAATTTCCCATCAGCACACAGTCAAGGAAAAACAGATGACAGGGCTGGCAATCACAATTTAACACTTTTTAATATAGAGCATTACAAACAGGTTAGTATTTTTGACAGTTTCTGACAGCTCACTGTGGAGTACAGCGGACTGAACTTCCTTGAGCACCCTATTATCCAAACACTGGACTAACACTTTGCCCAGCTCCACTCCAAATGACCAGCGACATGACAAGCTTGTCTGTAGGTAAGTGCCGTCCCCTGACATCAGTTGAGCTATGAGCCCCATAATGAGAAACCAAATAGGACAAAATGGCCTCTAAATAAAACATGGGGTGGAAAATAGAAAGCGGAGTCAGGTGTCCTTGGGAGAGTGACAGCTCTACTGGTTTCACCCCCTCCACCCCCACCACCCTCCTGTCTCTCGCCTTTTTTGCATCCCCTCGCGGAAGCCTAAATGACTTTTCTCGACACGCATCGAGCGTTCCTGAGCTTTCTGCGCTCTGCCGCCCGGAACATGCAGGCATCAGTAAACAATGAAATCTCTGGGCTGAAATTGAATTTATAACTACATTACCTGCACAGATAGCGTCTCTGAATGGCGCCGCGATAAGAGCAATGGGATTTGATTTTCAGGTGTTTTATTGGTCCACTTTTTGGATAAGCCCCCCTTGCTCTACAGCCTCATCCCCACCATTCACCTCTGCTCCACACAAACATCAGATTTAATGGATGTGGTTGCGTGCATGTTTGGATGTATGGATGAGTGTGTTATGTGTGTGTTATGTGTGTGTGTGTGTGTGTGTGGGTGAGTGTGTGTTATGTGTGTGTGTGTGTGTGTGTGTGTGTGTGTGTGTGTGTGTGTGTCTGTGTGTGTGTGTCTGTGTGTGTGTGTCTGTGTGTGTGTGTGGGTACATGCTTTTGCCGCGGCATGTCTCAGAGCTTGTGCTGCGCTCTCGTAAGTGACAGTTGTTGGTTCATGACCACCTTTTTACACGTCTCCATCCCCCTGCTGCCCTCCGCCCCCGCCCACATAAACCCTGTCAGTATCAGTCAGCCTCAGCCCCTTTTCACCCTGGGGGGTCTCAGACACACAACAGGGGGCTGTAAAACCTGCCTGTGGGGCTTGTTAACTGTTCACTCACTACGGCAACTGGCTCGGATGGATTGGCCCTCTCTCACCGGGCTGTGCCGAGTTTGACTGGCCCATCTCCTAATGGATTCACTGTGTCTCTGTCTCTGATTGTTTCCTTTTTCTCTCTTTGTGTCTCGCCAGTTCAGGACCTCCTTTCCTGACTGTCTAGCCCTTTAGCCAGCTGCCTTTTGCACTCTTCCCACTTGGGAGGATGTTTATATACGACGGCTATATTTAACTCTTGTTCCTATGAAACAAAATGCGTGGATCAGAATGGCACAGTTTGATTTTTACCTCTATTTTGTGTTCACTTCAAAATTGACTATGGACTATTTTGACAATTATTTTTCTATGATACTTATATACAACTGGAAAACCTTTACATTTGGTCTGGCATGGACAATAAATCCATTTTTATACAGCTGTTGTCAGGAAAGAATTGGACCGATAAGCATACACAAACATGCCTGAATGTAATCACTATCTTATCTCCCCATAGATTTGAAGAGAACACACCCCTGGAGCGAGTAACCCATCAAAACACTGAGATATGTGTCTGCACCATCCCCACTATCAAGAGCATCATGACATTGTAAAGTTCATCTTTTGAAACAAAAAGAAATATATTGCCATCATCATTCTCCTCTTGTGTGATTGATGGTCAAATCCAGTTTCTGTTGTTCTGCATCAAGACGCGGACTGTGACTGTCCCGGGTTCAGTACTCGCCACAGAAACAGAGAGATCTGAATCCCGCTGACAAATCCTCAAAGCATCGAGTCCCCCTGAGGGCCTGGGTAATGGCCGATGCCAGCGCCCATATGACGGCTGCCAGTTCTGCTGATGCAGACGGAGCGGAGATGCCTAACGTGACCTTTAGTGAATGCCACATCACATCAGGCCTGGATGTCACCCGCTGACATTATGCTGGGGCATGAAAAGGCTGTTCTGCAGGGGAGACATGGTGACGAACGTCCCCCCGGTGACAGACCTGTGGACGTGGTATAATTCTGATTGACGTGGGGAGGATTGGACGGCTTTGAATGGCAGCGGACGTACAAGCAAGCATCCAGGGGAGGATGTGGAGCTCGGTCTGCATCGGCTGGGTCTGTTTTTTTCTGTGTTCGTTGGCGATAAAGTGCTGAGACAACTCACTCCAACTGGCATCATTATCCCAATCATCAAACAATTCTCTAAGCACATCAGAAATCCCTCTATAAAGCCATAACAAGCACAGACTCTATATAACCAGTAGGCATGTAGAGATTGGCGGGGGGAGTAAAGTTAACGCTTGGCGGCTAACACTGCAGTGGTGGGTTGTGTAGGCAGGTCCTTGGCACACTTTCAGAGGAGATGGAGGGCTATAAAAGCCATTGGCTCCTGCCACACCTGTACCCCACCCTATCCCGCGGCCTGCTTCCTATTTAAAAGCATCACATGCAGGATATTAGTCAGGGTTTTTCGCCGTCTGTGAGGTAGAGCTAACCTCTGAAGCAGAGGGGGGAGAGGGGAAAGTATGCAGGCCGCCGTTTGTTTTTTATTGGGGAAATAATGGCCTATTGAGAGGTTGGGTATTTAATGAGCAACATAATAGGCCCTGTAGTAACACATCTGCTATGAGCAGAGTCATTTCCTCAGCTTTCAAAGGCTGCTGCTCCAGCCTTTGAAACAGCAAGTCCAGTTGCCTTTGACTTAGTACTTCTAGATATCTGCTTTTTATTAATTGCAGAATTGCTACACCGGTAATATATAAAAGACAAACGTGCTGCTAGGCTGTATGTTCAATCCTAACCACATTCAACGGCCGATGAAGGTACACTTCCTCTCCTGGCCTGACCTCAAATCTCTCACTGTCCAATCTAATTCCAGCATCCTTCAAAAATATCCATCCCTACTCTGCAATCAATTGTGTTTAATGTATTAAAGACACTCACCACAACCACCACAACCTTTGGCCTGTGCACAAATCAATGCCTCGTTAGACCGCTAATGATCATTCATTGACTAATAAGATCTGTATCAACCTCTTGTAGAACATTGATTGGCCTTTGGCCTCTGCAGTGCTCTGTGCATTACGTGGACAACAGGAGACGGCAGCTGCGAGTCCTGGGGAGTCAGATGATGAAAAAGCTCCTGGTGGGAATGGACAGGAATCCTAAACTCCAAATAGACTCATTCTGAAGCACCTCAGGCCAAAGCCCTTTTCTTCTGCCCTACAGATCAATGGACATAACCTCTCTGACCACAAGTCAATCAGTGCACAAACCCCAATTTCTCTCCCACTCGCTCTTTCTCTCTCTCATCTTCTCCATTAGTCACTACAATTGTTCCATCAGGTGCGGGCGTGGCTCGGCATGTATGTGTCCAATCATCTCGTTGATGGAGAGTGGACTGGCTAGCTGTGCAACGGTGTCCCTGTGACCGTATTTCCCTTCTCAGGACCTGAGGGCAAAGATCGAACCCTGCCTCCGCTCCGCTTCTACCAATCAATCTGATCCTCATTGAGATGCATGGCTCAATGATCTTTGATAGTGACTTACAGATTACAGAGAGGGAATGGAAGTCAGGGGGAAAGTTAGGACTGTCCTTGGGTATTTGCACCTATATGAGGCTACTTACAAGCCACACCATGGGAAAACATCTTTTATAATTGTCCTGCTCTTTTTCTGTCTGTTTCTTGTCTGTGTTTCAATATGTGTACTTATCTCTACTTATCTTAGCTCTTATCTCGCCTAACTTTGAAAAAATGGGAAAAATGGAAAATGATCTCTCCCAACACGAGGAAGAGGAAAAGAAATGTAAGGAGAACATGAAGTACAAAGAGGTAAATCCGCACTTCTTTCATGCAAATAGTTGACAAAGATGACAACACGGATGTGATTTTCTCTCTGTTTGGCTCTTCCTCAGGCGTTGTGAATGAGGACTAAGCTGTTCT